TCTGTCTTATTGTGTTTGGCTGAGGCCTAGTAATTTTCAATAAGGCCCTTAATCCGAGTACTTCACTGAAAATTACCAGGCTTCTGTGTGGAGGACGAGAGTTGAAAATAGCAGCCACACTATTGGGAGAATTTAGAGGATGGGCGCTGTTGCTTGCCCAGGTGGCTATGACTGAACCTCTGAAGCCCAGACCCTGTACACCATTAACAAAGAGGATATGTAATTTATGCCCTGGGAGACGTGTGGTGCTGCGACTATTTTCAACTAGAGTTCCATCTCTTCTTACAAATAAGATCTTTTTGATGAAGTTCACACTTTACCTTGTGCCAAACTTGGGGGGGGGGGGGATAAACCACATGCAGCCTGCATCATCTTGTGAGCTGTAAATAGGAGTTCAGAGATGTGTTTCCATTTTTGGTGAGATGGTTGGATTTTGTTTCTAAGTAGGGTGACGTTTTCACATCCTGTGACGTTCCCTTTCTGAAGGCTGTGGGTAAGCCTTGTGGAACCCTGCCGTAAGTTCACACTTAGGCTTTGCAAGCTCTCAGGGCGAGCCAGAGTTTGTCTCATCAGACCAAATCTGTGTGGAGTATTCAGGTCTCTTGGGTTCTTTGTGATTTGGTGCTATTAAAAGGAATTATTATTATTGTTAAAGCATTAGGGCCAATAACAATGCTGTTGTGCTTTAGCCTGTAGAATCACAGGGGAGTTTTTCCACTAATGAGCCTACTGTGTGCCACAGGCCACTCTGCACCGTGATGTACACAGACAAAGGCAGAGTTGAACTCAAAGGATTCATGGCTAACATCAGACTTCCCAGAGAATGGATAAATAAATGAAACCTCCCTTGAGCCTGTCATACAGGTGGACATGGGTAGATCTACTTCACACATGCACATGGTCCCTTGTTCAGATCTGGGGACTAGAAGGATGCTCCCTGAGCAAGAAGGCCTCCTGCTGGTCTGGGGCTACTTGGTCAAAGAAAGACATGGCCTCTTCCACGCCATTGATCCTCATCCATTAAACACCAGAAACCTGTGTGGCTCTGGAAATTCAGGAGGTAATTGAGTGTGACTTTTCCCAATAACCTCCAGGGAGAACGGAACAACAGTAGGAAAATGGCCGAAAGTCAAGCTGTACATAAAATACCTTTGCTAGTGAGCTGTTAGCAGCTGGTAAGTACGCTAAACCAGAGTCACCCGTGGGAGTCCTGGTGAGCAGCCATGTTAAGGATGAAGGACATTCTGTCTCTGAGATGACACCTGTCTTTTCATCTGCTGCCACTCCACCATCCTGGAGGGTCTGCATCTGTGTCATCTACTTCATGTTTGCCTGTGAGAAATCAGTCCTTGGTATATCCTGCACCACCACTTTTGGGGGTGCGTGGTGTTTTGCTCTGTTCCTTCTCCCATTTTGCCATGAGACAAGATTTTCCATGTAATTTAGAGCTCGATGGGCGGGCAGTCAGCAAACCCCATTGATTGGTCCTCCTGCCTCTGCTCCATCACAGAGTTGGAGTTACAGCTGTGTGAGACCATGCATGTTTTGGGGTTTTGTTTTGTTTTGTTTTGTTTTACATGAATGCTGGGTTTCTGAGCTTAGCTCCTCCTGCTTTCACATCAACAGCTCTTACCTGATGAGCTCTCTCCCAAGTCCCATCCTTGACTTTGTATGTGGGTTCTGGGAATTGAACATAGGTTGTCTTTCTTCTGTGGCTTCCACCCACTTTCCTTTTGGTGCCATCTCCCCAGCCTCCTCTGTTGCCACTAACATGACACTGAGGAAGGTGTTTTATCAGAAAAGAAAGATTTGTGCCGGTGGGGCTTGAAGGAAGGGGAAATCCTGAAACAAATATCCAGGAAGACAGTAAAGATTACCATCTCAAAAAGAGGAATGAACTTAACCCATGGAGAAGAGCACGGAGGCCAAAGTGTCCCTCCAGACAGTAGCCAACAATTCCCCAGCTGCCATAAACTGGATTAAAGACCTCAGATCAGAAAATAAAGTTGTTGGCGAATACAGGCATTTTCATTTGGCGCTGTTCAAGCCTGCTAAGCCTGTAGCTCTTGTAAGAATGGAGCTGAGCCCAGGTTCAGTCACCAAAGGTCAAAGTGATTCTTTTACTGAGACAATCTAAATCTAGATCATATCGAATCCGCTTTCTCTGTGAGGTTGAAATATTTTCCTAGGCATTAGTGTTGGAAGTATGAACTGCCCACACTCCCTGTAGAGCCCTGGTCCAATTAAAGACAGATGAAAATCTGCCCAGTGTGGGATCCTTTAACACAAGTAGAGGGGCATGGAAGGGGAGGGTGTACTTATAGAAAATCTGATAGAAAACACAACCATGAAACCTCAGGGTGAGCAGGATAACATATTTACTCGAGACCTATATTTCTTTTAAAAACAATTACTTGGCTATGTATCTAAAGGACCTCATCTGTCATTTAGGATCAAGACAGATTAAGCTTTTGCTTGGGAATGAATTAGGAGGCTGAAAACTCAGAGCAGCTAAGAGAAGGTATATTAGCGTGCACAAACTAAAGAACAATCCTCTAAAGGAGACCTACAAGAAAAAGAAATGTTGTCTTTGAAGTGGAAATGTACTAAGGGAGGCACGGGTCACTGGTGCCTACAAGAAGCATTACAAGGGAGAGTGTTCTTCAGGGAATCTGAGCTCAGACTCTGGAGGGGGACATTAGAAGTCTAGAGAGGCAGATGTGGGTACACAGAGAATATGAGATAACATCAGACCAAAGGGAGCAGGTGCAAAGTGTGGACCCTTGACTCGGTGTCCCTGTCTCCTTCTAGACTCTTCTTCAGGCAGGTCTCCCTACATCTGTAGCCCACCAACAACTATTACTTTTCAAACTTTTAAAAATATAACTATTAATTAATAACCACTTTTTTTTTCTTCGTCAAGAATAGCAAGTGGGTTTGAATATAAATGCATACTCTTGTCATCCCAGCATTTGGGATCTAGAGGCAGAAGAATCAGTTCAGGGTCATCCTCATCTATATGGTGAATTGGAGGCTAGCCTGGGACTCCATGAGAACCCCCCCCCCATCTCAATACCCATAATGAGGTGAAGGGGAATGATTTATGAAATGGTGGGTCTGAAAGGAATATCTCTGGTGGATGTAAGTGTAAGTGTAAGTCTGTCCTTCAGTTAGTTGAGTGAGTTAGTATTACCCCAAAGCCTGTGGTGAGCCCATTCTAGCAGGCAGTATACTAGGTTCTGTGCCAGGAGTGTGCCGAGTAATAGCCCTGGAAGTGCTGGCATGTTCTACAAGAGTAAGAATGCAAGTCTACTACATATCTGCCATGTGACCTTGAGCATGCTCCTCCCCTCCCCAACCCTCAACTTTCCTGTCTGCAGCCTGGAAATGACCTTCCCCTACCAGGTTGTTGGAGAGCCTGAACCAGGAAGCACAGGTGACTGGAAATCATGTTAGCTAGAAGCTGCTAAAAGGTCCCACTTTGATTTCACTCCCACCATGATCATCTATGTGAATGGTTCTCATCCTTCCCAGTGCTGTGACCCTTTAATACAGTTCCTCATGTTGTGATGACCCTTTACCATAAAATTGCTTTGTTCTTCATAACTATAATTTTGCTACTGTTCTAATTCATAATGTAAATATCTGATATGCAGGATATCTGATATGTGACCCCCAACGGGTGTCAATCCACAGGTTAAGAACCACTTATCTATGTCCTTGTCAAAAAGGGTTTGTCCACAGTAGGTCTTGGTCTTTTCCTAGCTATTAATTGAAAGGAATGAGTAGCCACCATGAGAATTAGTGCTGTGAAAATGTAGACTTTTGAGGCATAGTTGTTGAGAACTGTCTGAGCTTTGTTGTTTCCTATCAACTTTCAGTTCCGTTTACTGAGCCTTGAGGAATAGGTGACAAATGTCTTCAAGTTTCATATGAGTGACACCCTGACCTTGCCCTTGGGGGAATACAGTCCTGGGAGGGAAAATAAGCATGTTCCAGTTTTAAGATGTTAGAGAAAGTTCTGGGTCACTGAAACCCAAAGGAGGAGACTAGGAAACAACTGGCAGGCATCTTAGAGAGCTTCTATATCCAATTAACCCAAGCTTCTCAATCCACCTACTTTACCTTTCCCATGGGAAAGCCAGGCCTGAGTCAAACTACTGTGTGCCCAAAGTTTAACCACATCTGAAAAAAGAAAAAACACTAACAGTGATCATGATGATGATAAGGGGCTCAAGAGTTGGCTCATCTGTTCAGAGTGTGTGCTGTTCTTGCAGGGTCCCAAGTTCAGTTCCCAGCACCCACACTGACCACCTCACAACAGCTTATTACTCCAGTTTTAGTGGGCTTCATCACCTCTCACCCCAGAGGGCACTGGCATGCATGTGTGTGTGTGTGTGTGTGTGTGCACACGCGCACACACACACACACACACACACACACTCATGTTTCTAAAAGTAAGATACTTGGAGAAGCTGCTTCAAACTATTTGCCATGGGGAAGTTCCCTTTTCAAATACTGGCAAGATTTAAATCTGCAAAAAGGAAACCTTCTGAAGCTTTGAATTGATGTTTCTGGCAGTGTACATTCTGGAACATGACAGCTATGCACTGGGAACATTTGGGAAGTGGCCACATAGTAGATGTTCCTAGCATTGTGTCTTTACCCTGTGGTGTCTCTTCCCTGGCTCCAAGGCTTCTCTGACAGATGGTCTTTGGCGGCCATTACTGGCAGCAGGAGAGTGAGGACAGGTGATGATGGGCCAGCAGACCGCCATGCTGTGGAAAGAGCTAGTGTGATGGATGGGCCTGGGGTTGAATGGTTTTGTCAAGACTACAGGTCCTGAGCCAAAGTCTGGAACCTCTAGAAAATACTTATATACTTCCTGCATGATTTTCCCCACAGTGTCTGTTAATCTAGCGGACTTCTGGGTGTTTCATTGTGAATAATGATGCATGATTCATGCTGGGGTCTCTCTGTTCTATCTATGTCACTCACAGATGTGGGAGGAGGCCATCGCCCTGGGCAAGGAACTTGCAGAGCAGTATGAAACGGAGATGTTTGATTATGAACAGCTGAGTGAATTGCTGGTAGGCCCTCACTTTGGTTTTGGGGTTTTGGTTTTTTTTTGTTTGTTTGTTTTTGATTTTCCTAGATTTTCTCACTTTAGGCTTCACATCAGGATCCACCTCAGTCGTCCTCTTGGCTTTAACCTGCTCCCTCTTGGAAAATGGTTGTCTTTTATTTTCTGGTTGATTCCAGCCCATGAGCAATCACTGTTTATTCTCAAGTAGGCCAAGAAGTTAAAACTTCCATTAGTGAAGCATAACAAGTGTGACATCCTAAGTACAGGGGGCTTGGCAGCCCAGAGTCTCTGAGAGTTCCAACTAGTCTAAAGCACTCACCTTTTCCACAAGAGGAGGCGGACAGGTGGTGGCCAGAACTTTGTCAGACCAGGACATCCTCGAAGGTTTTAGCTGCTGCCTTCTCAGCCGTGCCTTTTTTGTGCACAGCAGACCACATATATGATAGAACGTTACTCTGTAAATTATGGCAGAATATTTTTGTCCTCCAAATTCTGTGAGTATCCAATATGAATCCCCCCCCCAAAAAAAATCCCACGTAAAAACACTAAAATGAAGGAAAATCTTTCCCTTGGATTTGGGATTATTAAAACTCCCCCAAATCATAATTGTTGACCAAATGTATTTTGTTTGGGATACCTTTCTGGGCAGTTTGAAAAATAATGTCAAAACGACGGAATTCTCCCAGGTGCAGGCCTCAGGATCCCAAGAAGAATCCAGAAGGGTGGATGCTCCAATACGTTGCTCAGCCCTGAAATTAATTTTCATTTCTTCCTTCCAGAAAAAGCAAGCTCAATTTTATGAAAACATCGTCAAAGTGATAAGACCCAAGCCGGACTATTTTGCTGTTGGCTATTATGGGCAAGGGTTCCCTTCCTTCCTCCGGGTAAGTTTGAGTCTTCTTGTCCTGAGCCAGTGTCACTGGCTCAGCAGAGAGATCCCTTCATCCTGGTGTTTTGCCCAGCAAAGTCATATGCTGACTTTACAGTGCCAGAGAGGGACCAAGAATATTTTCTTTATTTATGTAAGAACTCTGGCTAAATGTACTCTTTTTTTTTTCCCCCTGAAAGAATTCTCCTCAGAGATTTATATGTGTGACAAAGTATACAGAACAAGCTGGGAAGATGGCTCTGTGGGCACTCGCCACAAGTATGAGGACATAAGTTCAGATCCTCAGAAGATATATAAAGCCAGACTGCATGGCACTCATCTACAATGCCAGCACTCCTTCCAAAAGATAGGAGATGGAGACAGGAGACCCTGTGGAAGCTCATGGCCAGCTAGTCTGGTATATATAGCAGTAAACAACAAAGGGATCCTGCCTCAAACAATGTACAGGGCATTGACCAATGCCTAAGGGTTCTCCCACCTCCACATACACTCTGATGTGCATGCACGCATATGCACACAGGGACATGCATACACATAAACACACATAGTTTACTGTTTGGGATATTTTTAGTTGTGCAGTTCAGTGGCTTTAAGCACACACAGAGAGAAACCATCACGGCCATCTAGTTCCAGAATTTCCTCAACTTACAAAACTAGAACTTAGGCCTGAAGAGATAGCATAGCAGTTATGAGTGCTTGCTGCTCTTCCAGAAGACCAGAGTTACATTCCCACACCCAGGTGAGGTGGCTCAAAAGCAGAACCTGTAACTCCAGCTCCAGGGGATTAACTACCTTCCTCTGTTTCATCTCTCTCTGTGTGTCTGTCTCTGTCTCTCTCTCTCTCTCAAACACACACACACACACACACGTATGTTTGTATATATGTGTGTGTGTGTGTATATTTTAAAAAGTAACCAAAACTCCATACCCCTTAACAGCAGTATCCCATTTCTTTACTCCCAGCTTTAGGACCTAGCACTGTTCTATTTGCCCCTGGGAGTCAACCACCCTAGTTTCCTCATATAACTTGGGTCATACTATGTTTGACCTTTTGTGTCTTATTTTTACTGTATATGATAGCATCAAGGTTTAACCATGTTATAGCATATAGTAACTTTGTATGGACATCCTACACCTTGCCAATCCATCATTGGTGGACATTGAGTTATTTCCACCCTTTGGTATGAATAATGATGCTGTGAACATAAAAATTTTAATTTTTCTGAGAAATTGGAAATAGATTTTTACAACCACAATGCTTGAAATTGAATCCACCCCTGCAGTGGGAAAGCTGAGTATTGTTGGACACAACCAGAGCAATAGACATGATGCTCTTTTAGACCAGCATTTCCCAATATCCAGATGATGCTTGGATGTGTAAATAAATGTTGCTTGACCAACTACTGAAATTGGTTCATACTTCTGAAGAAGACATTCTTGGTTTTGATTTCCCTGTCTCATGACTATTGTATATATCTGGAAAAGACCCTGCCTCAAACAAACAACCTGGAGAAGGACAGCCAAGGTTGATATATGCAAGTGATATATGACTTCTATATGCAAGTACACATGTGGGTAAACCCCCCCATACTCAAGCACACATACAAAATCCCTACACAAAAAAGGCATGTAGTAAAAGTTTCTCAATTTAACAAAAACTTTAGTGTCTTTATGTGTACCCCAACGTGTAGGTGGCCCAAGGAAGAGAGAGGCCAACCTTGGGCCAGACACGTTCATGCTCATGGGCTGTTAAAGTCTGGGCATGGAATGCCTCTGTGATACAGTGGCCACCACTGTTGGAGTTATCTAACTCCAACAATAAGGCAACAGCTTGCCTGAGCATGTGATGAAATGCCCCCAGGGAGGCAAGCTAGAGCACTGGATCCTGCAGGCTCCAGGGACCGTCCTGGGTCACTTCCACCATCAAAGGACAAAATGTGAAGTAAGAATAAAGAGTTTATCGTGCTTGATTAATATTGAGCTGACTTTCCCGACACACCTGAATAACTCTGTTGGGCTGTAGCAATATATTCATTACGCTTCACAGATCACCTGGCAGGGGTCAGTCTGACAATGACTTTACTAGTTACCGAAAAGTGGGCGGAATGTTTAGCAACTTCACAGTGCCGAGAGAGCAGACACTGAGCTATTTTGCTGACCCCTTGGCACTGTTTCTCTCCATAAATCGAGCTCATTGCTTTTTTGCATTCTTATTAATATTTATAATTCTCACAAGGAATAAATATTTTTGACTGTATGTATATTCCAGCCCCCCCCCCAGTCCCAGTTTTTGTGTTTGGAAGGACTACTGCAGAATGCAAAGTAATGGACATTTCTGGAAAATATTATTAGTGTTTTCATCTAGTGCTTTTCTATTAAAGCCTTTATGTATTTTTATTATTGCCTTCTTCGGGGTAAAGCTTAATGAATGCATGCTACTTTCCTAGTGGTCTGCTCACTAGTAAATCTATGTCTTCCTGAGATGTTCGACTTTCCTAGGGTCTCACAGGAAGCTCAGCCTCTGTATTTATATTTCTAAATAAGACTACATATTATTCTGCTTTCTGCTTGACATTTTTCTCCCACACACACAAATAGGGCATTTGTTTCTTCCGTATGATACTTCAAGCCATACCTAAGTACAAATCGTCAGGGTGTGGGGTGTGGGTATCCAAACCTTAAACTGTTACTCCCTTAGTAATGTGTTAAACTGCAGAATAAATTGGGATTTGAAAGGTGGATTGTCCATATCTGTTTGCACTGTAGTAACAAAACACCTTAGAATGGGTAATTTATAAGTAATACAGGTTTATTGCTCACATATCTGGAAGCTAGGAAGTCCAAGCTCAAGGGATCAGTAGATTGATTCCATGTCTGATGAGACTCTGTAGAGTAGGAGGAGAAAAACTTCTGGAGACCTTTGTGGATCTAGTCCCTTCCCAACGCCCACACCCTGTCTCTATTTCAGTGTATAAATGGTATAAGGGTGACATGAGCATTCAGGCCACAGCAGGGGTAGTTAATTACATGTCCTAGGAGCCTCCCCTTATCTCTGTGAAAATGTGTTAATTAGATAAGTTTTGGTATACAGCAGAGGCAACACAGAACCAAGAATGTATAGCAAAAGGCTGTACCTCTGTCTCTTTCTTGCACATCTTCCTCTGTTTTCCTCCTTCTCACTGCTGACGATTGTCTGGCCCTGGACAGCAGCCACTCATAAGCCACGGCAGCACCTTTCATGACTAGCTGATACAGAGAAGTTTCTGGTTAGGCAGAAGCAACAAAGGAAAAGACTAGGTGGGTGGAAGAGGCCACAGCCTTCAGATGACAGCAGCAATGGTATTTTCTAGCCACTGACAACTATTTGTGACTCCATTTGCTTATGTAACACTCTCTGGTCCTTGAAGTGCTCTGCTCCATGTCTCCAGACCCTTTGTTCATGATGTACGTGTAGTGACTGCCTCAACCACACACAGAAGGACTCCAGTGTAGCCTGTGTAAGGAAAGTGCCCACACCAAAGTTAGCTGGCCTTGGATAACAGCTTCCAGTGAAATCTAGATGGGAGATTGTTACTTAGAAATGACCAAAGTCAGTCCTAAGTGTTGTGTAGATTTTGTCATTGTTGAGTAAGGATCACACAGACCTCCTCCTGCCAGGAAGAAATCCTGCTCTCCACTCATCACCAGCCTCCAGGCTTCAGGGAGGCCAGGAGCTCAGTGTCTTCCTGTTTGGCCTGATTACCTTTCCTCTATCTCTGCTGATCTCCCTGTGACACCCAGGAGTCAGGTAGTGCTCTGAGGACCTCCTCCTTATTCCCCTGCCAAGCTGTATTCCTTTGGGCAGGAGAAAGATGATGTTGATGAGTGCTGCAGGGAGATGCAGCTGCCACTAGCCACTAGATTCTCATGAAGCCTCCTTAGTGTACTTGGGAACCAAATTAACACAAGGCCCAGTTCACATGAGAGAAGCTTAAAAACTAATTAATTTTACATATACATGGGGATTTTCACAAGAGAGTAAGTCCCAAATGCACACCCTGAGTTGATGCTTTTTTGACAGAGTGATGAATTACCTAAATAAAAGCAGGACAGACAGCTCTCTTGACAGTAACTTCCGGGGATGTTACTGAGAGAGACCCATGAGTGTGTGAGTGGGGCAGAACACTGAAGCTAGGGCAGTGTCTGGGTTACTTTATGGTTGGTTATCCAGGTTGGTTGTGGTGGAGTGTGAAAGGCTCCCAAGAATCCTTATTGGCTCCCTTGAAATTGAAAGTAGAGGCTGACAGGTGTGGTGGTTCATAACTTTAATCCAAGTTTTGGGGAGACAGGTGGCTCTCTATGAGTTTGAGGTCAGCCTCTCAAAAACAAAACAAAACAAAACAAAAAAAAAAAAAAAAAAAAAAAGGAGGAGGAGGAGGAAAGAAAGTAGAGGTTGAGGGTCCCCTACAGTAGTCACAGTTCTGTGGGTGTTTCCGTTTTTAAATACTCACTTGTGGAAGTCATTTCTCCTTGTACCTTGTGGGTTCCAGGGATTCAACTCAGGTTGTCAGGCTTGGCTACAAGTGCCTTTATCTGCTAAGCCATCTTGTTGACCTCCTCCATAGGTTTTTTTAATTGGTTGTTATCGCTAAGATGAAGCTTGTGGGGAATGTTCAGGCGTATGTATTCAAATGTTCCTGATTAGAGAGTGCAGTTGCAAGATATTCTTAAATGAATGCAGTGACTTGAAAAGGAAAAGACAAAACTGTCGAACGCATTTTGAAGACCAGTGCTCTTGTGTGTGAACTTTCCTTGGTCCTTCACCTGTGGTGTTATTTAACAAAGGACATCATTTCCAGGGAAAAGTGTTCATTTACCGAGGAAAAGAATATGAGCGGCGGGAAGATTTTGAAGCTCGCCTATTAACTCAGTTCCCCAATGCTGAGAAAATGAAGACGACGTCTCCACCAGGGGAGGACATTAAGAGTTCTCCTGGCCAGTGTATCCTTTAAGACAACAGGGAACAGTTCATGGGAACAGTTGATGCTCTGGTACATCCAGGTGGGAGGGCTTCTCTTGGTTGTCACATATGCTGTCCTTTTGTCCTTAACTCTCCACCCTCAGACATCCAGTGCTTCACAGTGAAGCCCAAGCTAGATTTGCCCCCAAAATTTCACCGGCCAGTATCTGAACAAATTGTAAGGTAAACTTGCCAGCTTCTTCACCAATAGGAGGCCGCAAAGTGCTAATGATGGGTCTCTTGCTAATAAGTCAATCTTTTTATGTGTGAACTTTAACCTTTGAAGAACACCCTAGCAGTTTTTTTTTTCCCGCCCTCTCCCAAGAACAGGGTAAGGCAATGATTTCTGGCACCCACAAAAGAGAAAGTAATTAGAGGGGTGCACAGAAGATTCCTTATCCAGGGTCTGGAAAGATGAAACCCAGGACAAAAAAGGTAGCCCTCGGGTCTCTTTAGCGACCACACATTCAGGGTAGAATCCCCAACAGTGTTCAAACCCCTCCCTGCCCCTACCCTGGGCATATGTGAACTCTCGGTGCCTATTGTGAACGGAGATCACAGTATTTGTTCCTCATGAGGTGCAAAGTAAAAACCTTTTGCTCCAAGATTAGACGAATCATTCCATTGGAAGAGCACCTGCCTTGCAAGCATTAAGCCTCAATTCAGTACCTAGAATCCCTACACACGCGCACGCGCACGCGCGCGCGCGCGCACACACACACAGAGAGAGAGAGAGAGACAGAGAGAGACACAGAGAGAGACAGAGAGAGAGAGGCCACGTAGGGTGCTTCATGCTTTAACCCAGCAATGGAAGATGGGAAGCAAAGACAGGGGAATTCCCATAAATGAAGTTCCACGTTATTGAGAGACCTTGTCTCAAACAAAAAGTGGAAGGTACCTGAAGGACCATTCCCGGGGATGTCCTGTGATCTCCACATGCACACGTTCACCTCCCCACATGTGTGCACCCCCACACATGAACACACAGACGGGGTCATGCAGTGACATTCAAACAGCACTTATGCCAGTGGCATGAGCTCATACACCTGTGCTGCAATGTGCTTCACTGACTTGGTAGCTCTGCAGAGTCAGCCGCCCCAGTGACTCTTTGATGTGGAGAGTTCTCTATTTGATCTCTGTCCTGGTGGGAGCTGCAGCCTCTTTGATGCCTGCTCCTCCTCTGGTCTGCTTGCATGGCATCCTGGAGTTCCATGGGCCCTTTAGCCTTTTATCACTGTTGCCTTGGTGGTCACAGAAACAAACAAGAGATGCCTGTTTGTAGCAAGTGCATTCACAGAAATGCAGCGTTAGACAAATAGAGAATTACCGAGCCCTCTCAGAGGGCACTGTGTCATTCCCTCTTGGGGAAGATTAAGTGCCTCTCTCTCTCTCTCTCTCTCTCTCTCACACACACACACACACACACACACACACACTTCACAAAGCCACCCCTCCCCTAAGGAAGACAGACAACAGGGTGTTTATGGCCCAGAACACCACTCTGAACATCTGCTAAATCTATATCTAAAAAGTCTGAAACTAGAGTGTGCAGACACCTTTCTTTTTAAAAGATAACATATTATCAATTTATCTAAAGTTAACTGTTCAATTATTCAGCTACCTGGGGCAGAGGCAGGTAGATTTCTGTGACTTCAAGTCCAGCTTGGTCTACATAGCAAAGTACGGGCCAGCTAGTGCTACATAATAAAACTCTGTCTCAAAATACACACACACACACACACACACACACACACACACACACACACACATATATATATATATATAATGACACATCATTGATTTCTTGCAATAGTGAATACACCTATTGAATACACAGGCCCTTTTTCTCTCCTTCACATCACCTTTCCAAGCCTTTGCAGGTCCACTTAGTCTGCATCTCTTACTCAGCATCTCTTCTCCCCTGAGCACTGGCAGAGGCAAAGAGGAGGTAAAAGTCTCCAGTCAGTCTTTCTACTGCTGCCATCTTTCACTAGAGAGTAAGCCAAGGCCATGGCTTTAGGTCAAGGTTAGGGACACTTCCTGAGCTGTAGCACTGTGCTCTAAAGCCAACTGCCCCCCCTTCCCGCTATCCCCGCCCCTGTCTGAAAGCAAATCATCTGCTTACCGATTAAAAGTCTAATGATTTTTCTCCTTCTACAGTTTTTACAGGGTGAATGAGGTCCAACGATTTGAATATTCTCGGCCCATCCGGAAAGGGGAGAAAAACCCAGACAATGAATTTGCGGTAATTAAAAAAACTACAACACTGTAGCAAAACTCAAAACTCCTCATCTATTCTCTTAGCCATAGAGGACCTGGAGAGCACATCCCCAAAGGGCCACTGTGGACAGTGTTAAATGTCTCTGTAAAGCTAGAAGCATTTCCTACAGCTTATTAGTGAGATAGCTGACACATCTAATAATGGACCAATTGCATTAGGGCCCTGGGTGTTCCCTTCTAGTGAGTCTCAGTGCTCAGAACTCCAGAGGATTATTTGGCCTCTGTGACAATGACAGGCTTCCCTGGAGCTTATCACACTGCAGCCAGATTCCCATTGACATTCTGGACTGGGTGACCCTCTGTGGGCCCATGCCATGAATCTCTAACCTGAACCCAGTATCATCTCTCTGGTCATGACAACCAATCAAGGCTCTAGACCCTGCCAGATATTTCTTCCTTTCTATAGCCATCCCATTGACCTGGAAATAGTAACACACACCCATATTATCTTTTAGAAATTATACATACAGGGCTGGGGAGATGGCTCAGTCAGTAAAGTGCTTGCCATACAAGCATGAAGGAAGATCTGAATTCCACCCCTATAACCCATCTCAAAAAGGCTAGGTGTGGTGATGCACACTTGCAATCCAAGCATTGGGGTGACAGGGTAAGGTAGGTCCCAGGAGCATGCTGGCCCACCACTCCAGCTTACCAGGCCACCCCCAGGTCTCAAAATAAGATGACCAGTACCCAGAGGAACCTAGCCAAGGTTGACTTCTGTTCTTTATGTGGACAGAGAGAGGGAGACACACACACACACACACACACACACACACACACACACACACACACACACACTCAAAGACACTGTACAAGTGAATCAATTTAATGGACCTATATAAAAAAGCATCAGACAAGCCTATAATTTGACACGTTAACACATTGCTTCCTGGAACTCTTCCCTGCAGAATCCCTCTTCAGAACCATAGTGCAAGGAGAACTGAGCCCCTGTGTAACAGCGAGGACCAACCCTGATAAAATAGCTTCCTTTTGCAGTCTAGAGGCCTTTGGGTACAGGAGGAGAAAAGGGAATTATCACTCACACCTAACCCAAAGCAGACTTTGGGGCCCGCTGTCAGGGTTGCCTTGGGCAGAGGGACTTTTGCTCCCTCTGTAGAAATCCTTGGGGTAAAACCCGAGTTTCCTTCATAGCTCCTGGGAGTCATCTTAGAGATATTCCCTCCGGCTCCCAGGCCAATGTCCTTGTGTGTTGACAGGAGCTTAGAGTAAGGTGACTCCTTGTTTCAAGATGAAGGTTGGGTTCCTTGGTCAGTGCTAACATCCCAACCCCTTAGTGGCTGTTCCTTGCAGTGTAACTATAGTCAGAGCACAGATATCACGGATAAACAGGCTAACAGTGGATTAACAGCTTTCTGGGTATTTATTTCATGGTCACAAATCATGCTGTTCTTTCTGTGGTGTCTGGGACCCAGGGATTTATTGATTACCCCCACTTCCTCACCTCCCCCATCTTGCAGTATGTATATTCTTACATTGTGAGGAATAGACACATGGAGGCCAGGCAAACTGCTCAGTGAACTGGCAACAGAGCTCAGAACAACCAGGATACCTGACATTTTGAGCTGTGCTTAGCCTCAGAGCTTGTGCTGCTTCTAGATGGCCCCAAAATCCCCCGATGGCCCCATTTGGGGCCTCACACAGATGAAGCATTGAAAAGCCACAGGATTTAGCCCATCACAGCCTGACAAGGGTCCAGGCTTCCAGAAAAGAGCAGAATGTTTTGCAGTAGTGAGAAGCCCAATCCTGGCCCCTTCTACAGGCTTCTAACCTCAAGGACAAATGATAGGAAAACTGCCCTATGAAGCCAAGATCTGTGCTCAGTATCTATAAGCCTGACAGAGGGTGAAACTTCAGGAGCAAGAGCCATTTAGGAGGAGCCAGCCCTAGTTAGGAACTGACCATGAAGCCCAAAGTAAATCCAGGGTGTTTGCAAGGACACGAAGGCTCCAAAAGTTTACCCTTTCTCTGGCAAGTCCCCAAGTACACAGACAGAAGAACTTGGCCTGGAAGACAGATCCGCCTGTGGCCCTGAAGCTCCCGCTTGTCCCCTTGCTTTTCTCTGGCATCTCGGAGGTTCTAAAGGCCAGGCTAGCTTTCTGTAATTGTCATCCTGTAACCCGTTAGTCCTGAGAAGGTGGCAGTCTGGAGGGTTATAGTTTGCCCCTCTGCTAGACCAGCCATTAAGGAGGCATAGATCATTGGTTTGAAAACATTTCTTGCAGTGTGTGAGGTGCTGCTTTATAGAAAATACATTTTGGAAAGGGCTTCCACTTAAAATATACCTAGGGCTGAGGCTGTACCTTGGATGGTAGAATACTTACCTAGAATACACAAAGAACTCTCTGATCCCCTGCACTGTATAAGCCGAGGGGGTATTGTGGTGCATACCTGTAATCCTAGCACTAAGGATCAAACAGTCAAGTTCATCCTCAACTACCTATGAAGTTTAGGCCATCAAGGGATACATGAGACCCTGTCTTAAAAACGTAAACAAGACATCTGTGTGAAAAGGCATACCAGTGGAAAAACGAAGGGCACTATAGTGCATAGGTCCTTATCAGTACTTTGTGGTGCACGAGTCCCTTCTATTTCCACACTATGTTTCCACAGAATATAAACATAATAATTATGTTGTTTAATGTTTTTATTAAAACATAGGAGGGTATGTAGAAGTTTCTTTCCCACAAATCGCTCCCAAATAACCACTCAGAGGCTTAGTATTAATCATAAATGCTCAACGGATAGCTCAGGCTTGTTAATAGCAAATTCTTACATTTTAAATTAACCCACATTTCTTAACTACCCTCTGCCACATGGCTCATGGCTTGTTGCCGCATTTTATCCTGCTTCCTCTGCATCTTCTGGCATCTGCTCTGACTCTGCCCATCTTGATCCCGGCATCCTTAGTTTGGTTGTCCCACCCATACTACCTGCATGGCTACCAGCTTTTTATTAAACCAATTCGAGTGACAAATCTTGATAGTGTACAAAAGGATTATTCCACAGCTTTCAAGAGGTCAATTTTAGGGAACTTTGCCTTGGATACATTTGTGCCTTTGTGTTCCCTTTTGAAGCCTGGGTAAGGCTAACATAAAACTCACTTGGACACCTCCCCCAATCACACTTATTTAAGAGGGAGCACTATCATCCTGAGGTATATACATCACTCCTGATCATCCACTACGACTCCATGCCAAACAGCAGAGGCAAGTTTAATAGGCAGGAAGTATGGTGCTTTGTGGTTAAGTTGTGGTTGTCAAGTAGAACATGGTTCCTGGGGTTCCCTCAGCACACACCTGTCCTATGTGAACACAGGCAGGCCTTGTCCTTATAGAAGACCCACATGCTGGGGTGACACAGATACCCAACAAAAGAGAGTTCCCTCCTACTGGCATCCCCCTCCTAACATGTACGGTGTGGACTCTTCTTACAGAATATGTGGATTGAGAGAACCATCTACACTACAGCCTATAAGTTGCCAGGAATTTTAAGGTGGTTTGAAGTCAAATCTGTCTTCATGGTAAGGAGATACCCCAAAAGGGAGTATCTGCATTTCTTTCCTCTTGTGTTTGACATGCTCTCCTTGCACTCAAATGGAGCCTTGTGGTCCCTGTGGCCTGTAATGTGCTCCAGACCTTTAAATGCCTGTCACCACCCTGTGTGTACCTTAGAGCATTAGTATCTCTCCGTCGCCTCATGCATCTTATTCCCAAAGCTATGTGGCCACCTCCAGGGCTGGCTGACAAGAAATCCATTCCTTCTCACACATTAATATGTCAGCTCTACCTGTGTTGCTTTGATAATTCTTTCTCTTAACTAAATAGAAAGTGTAAAGTATGTTCCCACTGATGTAAACTTCCTACAAAACCTCTTCCTGGTTGTTTGGTTGCCATTTACCTGATAAGTGATAAGTAAAATTCACCCATTACACATGAGAATATATTCCTCCTTGACCATATTTTTAAAGACATGATGATTCCTATTTTATAAGCCAAACTTTGCCTTGCTATGGGACAGAGGTTTTTTTTTAATTGTTGTTGATGTTTTTATTTATGACTGGGTATGTGTACGCCATGTGTATGCAGTGCCTGCTAAAGCCAAAAGAGAGGGTATTGAATCCCTTGGGAATGGAGTTACAGGTAGTTATGAGCCACCATGTCTATGCTCAGAATCAATTACATATCATCTGGAGGAACAGTTAGTTCTCTTAACCACTAAGCATTTCAAACGCAATGAGACAGTTTTATTTAAATGAAACTCATATTTACAGGAACCTACAGGATGACTTCACTAACAGAGCTATACTATGACAATACCCATATAAATGGTCCAATAAAAGCATAAGCATGCAGCAGCCCCCTTGGTAGAAGGCTTCCTCTGTATGCATGAAGTCTTAGATGCTGCCCCTTGGACCATATAAACTGGGTGTGACAGTGCATGCCTGTAATCCTAGCACACAAGAGGATCAGAAGTTCCAGTGTTATCTTCAGCTGTACGTTGAATTTGAAGCCAGCTTTGGCTGCACGATATCCTGTCTCAAAAAACAAAGCAAAGCAAACAAACAAACAAAAAAAACTAATTACAATATGCTTTTGTTTGTGTATCTTCTCTGGGCCGGATCCCACCTCGGGAAATGGCTCCTGCCATTCAATTAACAGTGAGTCCCTGAAACACCTGATGATTTGGCTTAAGGACTAGACAAAAGCTTGCCAATTTGGCTCTTCCCTTATTTGTGTTCACCGCTCTATTTTGCTCATGCCAATGAGAGCTCCTTGCCCTTCCACAAACATGCATGTCCCTGCTCCACCAGACCTCTTCAACCCACAGCAGCCAAGATGGAGGCTCCCATCCCTACTCAGAGGCCTCAGGACCCTTTGCCTCCCCCTTCTAGGGACATGATCACTTCCCACTGCAAGACCTTCATTCTCTACCCCAAAGCCACTAAGGTAGACAGGAGATGGTCAGGACATTAGCCAATGAGACTATTTAGGGTGGCCAGGCTGAGATCTGGTGGGAAGCCAACTTAGAGTCCTCTAGATCTACTTTAACATGCACAAGACAACTGGATTTTCATAAGTCCAAATACCTGTATTTGCGCAGAAACCAGGTGTTGGAAGAAATTGTACAGGAGGCTGCCTCACCTGGACACACTGCAGTAGCTGGGGTGATGCCCACCATGCTTTCTTCCTTGCAGGTAGAGATCAGCCCCCTGGAGAATGCCATCGAGACGATGCAGCTGACCAATGACAAGATCAGCAGCATGGTCCAGCAGCACCTGGATGACCCGGGCCTTCCCATCAACCCTCTGTCCATGCTCCTGAATGGCATTGTAGATCCTGCCGTTATGGGTGGCTTTGCCAATTATGAGAAGGCACGTGACATACCTGGGTTGGGCTGAGCATTCCCAAACTCCATCCCTGAGACCCAGAAACTATCCTGGAGAGTCACCCTCACTTTCCAGAACCCTTAGGATCATTAGGGACCTAAAGATTCCATTCTGGAGATAAGCAATGGTCCAGATATGTATCCTTGAGAGATGGCATGGGTTCAGTGGAGAGGGCCTCTGACTTCCCTGGATAGCAGCTCAGTGAGAATGGGCGGAAATCGAAGAACGTGGGGGACAAGCTAAATCAAGTCTGCCTGCCACAGTCCAGTGCTCATTTTTGCAAATGCTGGGGCTGAGTGCAGTTGTTTACTCCTTCCCTGTGACAGTTTCCCTGATACAGCAATGACATATTTGAACCACTAAATGGAGGCCTATGTGGTCCACAAGACCAAAATTATTTGTCTGCTGGTCCTATGTAAAACAAACTTGTTGAAGCAGATGTAGACAGTGAAAATTTAGATCAAAAGGGTGTCCTAATGAGCTAGCAATGATTATGGATTATGTGTGCCCCCCCCCCACACACACACACATCTGTAACTTCCAGACAAATATCTGTCTGGCTGGAATCAGTAGAGGAGAAGATTATCAGCCATCAGTGTGAACTCCAGGCATTGGTACAGCTGAGAGAGCCAAAGCCATTGCTACCCAATAGAACCAAGCAATCTAGATCTGTTGTGACCTTTCTGAACTCCTGCTGCCTGTGTTGTGTTTGACCTTGGGGCCTGGGGTGGGTATAACCCTGGATGTTCAGGGAGTGCCATGGGAGGGCTGTGGGACTCAGTTGTACACGAATCCCTTCCCAAGGCTCCTATGCACAGTGCTTTGCTAGGCAATCATATGTGAGCAGCTCTCCCTATCTCCACAGGCTTTCTTCACGGACAGATACTTGCAGGAACATCCTGAGGCCCATGGGCAGATAGAGAAGCTCAAGGACCTGATAGCCTGGCAGGTTGGTATGGCCAGGAAAGGAAGATGCGTGATCTGGGCACCTTCACATACATTCCTACCAGGATGGCAACAGCCTCTGGGTTACCACACTCACAATGAAAAAGTCACTTAAACACCCAAAAATTTTTGTGTCATCAATGAACAAGATCTGGTAGGAAACCTGCATGTGACTGGAATTAATAGAGGGATATTAGATATCAAGGTGGACTCTGACAGAATCATGCCTCCGCGGCTGTGGTCTGAGTGAGAAAGATCATGGGGTGGCTGCAGCCTGCCCACCCGGTCCACAGAGGGGAGGCTGCTCTGCGGGGTGAGTGTCTTTGTTTGTGCTTGCCCAGATTTTCTTCCACTCATGCTTCTAGGCTGGGCCCTTCTGTGCTGTCTACTTCAAGAGAAGGGAGCTCCATGGGGGTGTCTGTGCTTCCTGCAGTCCCTGGGCGAGTGTTCTATACTTAATCCATCTATATTTGCTCTGCCATTGGAGCAGCTTGCTACATGTTTCCTCACACAGGCAGGAGGGACATGCCTGACCCATGATAACCATGATGTGTAATCCCACTAGTCAGACTGCAGAAGGTAGGGTGTGGGCCAGCTTGTCCTGGAGTTAGGGATGTGTGCAAGCTATAGAGGATGGAGAACCATGCTAGAATTGGACAGGTGCCCACACTGAATGCATGGCTAAGCCTGGCCCTAGTCTCTTGAGTGGGCCTAAGGACACCGGGCTCAGCACAGAGCTGTCCCTCCTAGAAGAGACCTTTCTAAAAGAGTCTCATCCTTGTGACATCTCTGTCTCCAGCACATTGGCCAGTGAGACCACTTAGGGTGTGGGGCTGAGTTATGGTTTGCAACCAAGATGGAAGTCTTCAAAATTTGCATTTAGATGTACAAGATGACTGGATTTTCACAGCTATAAATGCTGCTACACACACACACACACACACACACACACACACACACACAGTGCACCAGGTGTAATTGTGCTCCCCAGTCCTTTCTTCCCTCAGCTTCTGGCATCTGCCCTTACACTTTCTGTCTTGTATGAACCTGGTGTCTATAAGACAGTCTCTTGAGCAGAATTGTGTATGATTGTTTCTTTGGTGTGTTTTACTTCACTCCACATAATGACTTCAAGGTTCATCCATGTTGTAGCTTATGTCAGAATATCTTTTTTAAGGCTCAATAATGTTCTTCTGGGTGGATAGGCCAGAGTTTATCCATTCATCTGTCAGTGGTAATTTGGGTTGAGTCCGTTTTGTAGCTGGTGTGATTAATGATGCAAGGAACATGTCACTGCATGTTCACATAAATACCTGTCATCTCCCTGCTTTCTGTACTCTGCATATACTGGAGGTTAGATTTTCCATAGTGTATGAAATTCTAGGTCTGAGGTTTAAGCCATTACCAAACTAATCTACAGTAGCTGAGTTGTCTTATACAGCAAAAACCTGGAGTACGGGATCTAGTTTCTGAATCTTCACCAAGACTTGTTATTATTTGGGTTTTTTTTTTTTTTTTCATAGCATGACCATCTCCATGCATGTGCAACTTTATACATTTTAAGATAATTATATGAAAAAGAGATATTTTGATTTTTTTTTTCATAAAGCTCTTGAAGTCGATTGCCCTGGAATTGTTTTGTGACATAAGATCCCTCTGAATGCTAAAGTAGGGACACTGTTGGCCAGTAGTGGTTTCTTCACCCAGAATTTAAGTCACATTGACTTTTATTTTAAAAAGAAAAAGTGGGAAAGATTTTAAATTTTGGATTATTCCATTTGAGGCCCTCAAAACCAACGGGGCACAGAATTCAAAATACCCCAGAATGCTATAACACAAAACCTGGTTTGGCCTGTAAAAGTTCTATTGATTTTTCCCCCCTGTAAGCTTTTACAACAAATTGGATTTTACGAGCTTCAAGTCATACAGAGGAAAATAATTTGTTCCCCAGAGAGAGACTCTATGCCCACACCATGTCATCGCCCCTAATAACTATATTAAGAGATGAATTTTAAAGCAGCTCATGGTAAAGTTGAAAGAAGGAGTCTGTTTTCTGGGCAATTTCATTAAATCAAAGAGCAAAGGGGGAAAACATATTTATAATATTACCTGTGACTTTGCTCTCATTTGCAAGTGTTTTGATATCTTCGCATTGGTAATTGAGTTGTATGTTCATTAAAAAACGAGAGCTTTACAGTTAGCTTTGTTCTCGTTTTGCTCATTAGTTTATTCGGTGTGAGTTTCTGCAGAGCAGGGTTTCTCCTGGGAGGAGTCCCAGGGCTTGCTGGCTGAGTTACATCACAGATGTACGGCCATAGACAAGCATGTCTCTGCTGCCTACATTACCATTAAGATTGGCTGGTCAGCCCTGGTTGGCCTGCTCCTCAGCTCTGCTTCATAGATCTGAAGATGAGGACAGTGATGGCCTGGCTGATGACCTCACCAGCTGGAAGGCTGAGCATGATGCAGGCTGCCTGGAGCCTGCAGACTTTGCAATTGATACTAAGCAACTTCCTTAAAGACTCACCTCTGTCTTTCCTCCAACACACCTGCAGAGCGTCCAAAGATGGGCCCACGCCTTCTCCTATTAAGCTGCCACACAGCATACTTATTTTCTTTGAAATGTACAAAGATGAGAGAGCAACCTCACTCATCATCCCCAGCTGACAATAGGCACCACCCTTTCTGCAGGGGCTGGTGCCTACAGAGTGATGAACAAAGTGATCAGATGTTCCTTGCTGCTGGCAAGGCTCAGACCTGTACAGGGCACACATAACACGATGCTTGAGAACGGGCTGAAGGTTAACTTTGAACAACTTTCTCTCTCTCTCCCAGAGTCTGGGGCCCTTTAGAAATAACAGATTCCAAAATGTACCCATGGTGACTCAAACTGTGGGGCACAGTTTCTGGGTCCTGTGGCAATTGTGGCAATCCTGAATGGAGTTAGGAATCTGCCTGCTAGAGATATTTTGAACATATGGAACAAAAAGGCCTACAAAGACCATTTCAGGCCCTGGGTCTATGGCTTTCCTCCGTATATTAAGCACCTCGTATGCTGGACAGAGCTGCACAGAATAGCTTTTTATTTCCTTCCATTTGGAATCACAGCTGCAGCTCAGCTCCAAATAGATGGAGAAGCAGGGTCCAAATCCTATTCTATGAGAAGACTTTATCTGCTCAATGTCAGGATTGACTTAGAGCGGTGTGTTCTCTCACCTCGTAAGTCTCACTTGCCAAGCCACAATTTTCAGCAATCCTCCCAGTACAAACAAGGGTCTCAACTCTCACTCTCATCCATCAGGTAGCCTCTTTGATACAGAGAATTTTAGCACCCCCACCCCAACCATCACCACCACCAAACACAAGATGGTTAGATTGCATTTTGCATGTTTGAGACAGCCATTCTAAATCAGAAATGCTCCCAGTGTCTACAGTGATTGTGGTTTCACCTAGAGTCAGCTCTACCAAGCATGGTCACCCTCCCCTCTTCCTCAGACAATACATTTGCAACCCAAAGATATACCAGCATCATTTTGTCATTAACCCTAGTCAGAACTCAGGGAGCCAAAGAGTAGCAGTAAACATTTCTAAGGCTGGTCCTGGGTGCATGGTAGCAAGCCCGGGAGAGGCTGCCATTTCCATGAAGAATTCATAGGGAATATGAAAACACCCTTGTTCTGAAAGTTCACCTGCACACCGCCTTTTATGATAAATGGACAGAAATTGTTATCAACTGTCTCTTGCATTGGGTTTAGGCTCACATATCAGCAAAGCAAACTTTTCTTTCAGTGCCTTCTGAGCAGGCTGGGTACTTTGAATATGGGGGTACTTGTGTGTCCCCTCCTTTCTTGGAGTACAAGAGAGGCAGCAGCTGTGTGCTATAAATAGAAGCAGATACAGCTCATGAGTTGATTCATCTTGCTAAGATTCCTTGAGTTTGTTCACATGAAATTCAATTGTGCACTTATTATCCCTCTTACTAATAAATATGCTGGTTTGGATTGGTATTCTATCTTATTAGGGAAATCAGTTTTTAATCAGTATTTTTACTTAATTATAAATTATTAAGAGGGAGCCTCTTAGCTTGATTCTTTGAAGACTGACTAACTTCCAGTCTGGGTACCAGGGAAAGAATGGAGCCTGCTACCTCTCCCACCCCCTAGCTGCAACTGCTCCAGGGGTCTCTGCCACTGAGAGAATGAAAATGTCTCGTGTGACGATTTTAAAGGTCAGCATCATTGCTACGGAAATGAAGTGTTGGCATGGATGTCTTGTGACAGTAGTGTCGGCAGAGAAGCGATTATTTTTGGTTTTAAGGAAGAATAAATTTAGTTTTCCTTCGCAAGTAAGAATATCCGTCAGGACTGTAGATCGCCTATAATTGGATTGTTATGTTTGGGGTAGGCTTCTCAATTGCCTATAAATACAATCTTCTCTGCTGATAAATGGGCTCTGGCATGACCTTTTGCTACCAGAACAAGGTACATGTGGACACATTCAAATCACATCTGTCCCCATATTCCAGTGAGAAACACTAGTATGGTCTGTTCTAGGACAATTGGGTAACAAGACTCCTCCCACCCCCACCAAGTAACAAAGTGGCCAGCATGTGGAGAGCTCCACCCTGGATATGGTTCCCTCAAGATCCAAACAGTTCTTATTTGAATATTTGCATCTCTGGGGGTTGGGGGAGGGGTGACCTGCCTGCTGATGAGTTTAACCAGTCACTCTGACTTGGGAACAAAAGCAGGTGCAATCAGCCTGCTGTTCCTCCTGCTGTGCATCGCCCCTCCCCACTGTCCCCTTCCCCCCAAATCAGGAATGCCAACCTGTGTTTTTCAGATTCCATTCTTGGCTGAAGGGATCAGGATTCACGGAGACAAAGTCACCGAGGCACTGAGGCCATTCCACGAACGCATGGAAGCCTGCTTCAAGCAGCTGAAGGAAAAAGTTGAAAAGCAGTATGGTGTCAGGACCATGGTAAGGGGGCAGGTCCCAGAAGAGGAGCGTCCCATTGGAGTAGAGGGGGCGAGGCCTCTGTAAGGCCTCCTAGGAGATATTAGGGACCTCAGCCCATTTTATGAGATTTGTCAATTACCAAACACATTGCTCATCCTCTCTGAGTAGTCTGCTGCTGAGTGTGATGCAATCCAGGGGTCTTGATAGGGCCAATTATAGAATTAAAAGGGAAAAAAAAAAAAAAAAAGTTCTAGAGTGTGACTGGTAGCAGAGAAGAAATCCTGAACATCACACAGAGCAGCTGAAGAAAGGCATTTATCCAGGTTGAGGAGATACACACAGAGGAAAAGAACCTCTGCAAAGCAGAGTGGGGGGTGGGGATGGTCAGGAAGCCGGAAAATCCTGGCTCTTTTGCTCTGGAGCTGGAGGGCTTTTTTTTGGGGGGGGGGTTCTCCTCCCCTAATTTAGGGTTGGTCAGTTTGAAGAAAGTCAGGATGGCTGTTTGACCCACAACTGTTGTGTTCTGATCAGGCCTTGAACTTGCTGAGTCAGACCATCCATCTGCAGAGGGCCTGCTGGTAGAAGAAAGTTATGGGTATCTTCAGATAGGTTCCCTGGTACCTTAACATCCATCCTTGGCTCAAGACAAGCAATTTCGGCATCACCTTCTCCAAATGCCATACATCTCTTGGTGGGGGCAGCCAGACATTCCAGCCAGGGCCAGTGAGGGCTTCAGAGTGCTATCTGAAGACAAAAATCAGGGAGCATTTTCAGTCATGGGTACTATGAGGCAGAAACCATCTTTCCTGAGTCCTACTCCATCTTGGAGCCCAGAATGAGGCTCTGCAGCCAGTCTTTCTGGGTAGACAGTGGCACAGGCTAAAGCCTGTCTGTCTATGAGGAATGTGGTCATAGGAATGTAGTCATAAAGACAGTCTGGGAGGTGCCTGTCTTGTCTTATGTACTTTGGAAGCCTAGGAGCATCTCAGGATACTTTGAAGAGCAATATTATAACATCCATTTTTCCAAAAGGATGGGTTTTAAAATTAAAAACCCAAAGAAAGGACATAAGACATTTTGTCAATGTTTCTGAGCCAGCCTAAGCCCCAGAAAGGGATGCTCTAGACACGCTCTGACTACATAACGCAAGGGCCCCTCCTGCTTGCTCCTTTGTGTCTATTTTGTCGATTCTGGGGATTCAAGGAGACACTGCCCCTGGATGGACACAGAGCAGACTCCCAGAGACTCACAGAATGGAAACAACAAGCACTGGCCTCTATCTCACCTTCACACACATGAAACCCTTTTCTGTTTATTGTCTCTCTTGTCCTCTTCCTAAAGTCTGGTGAGGGCCAGGACACCTTGCTTGGCTCTGTTTTCTTTCTTCCACCCATCTCCTCGCTTGAAACAAACCATCATTCAGACCAGCTGCTGGTTGAGCCTCCAGGCCCATCAGTCCAGGTGGCCCCTGCTTAATAGCTCCCTGTGAGTTGCCTTCCATCTCACAAAACAGTACATCAATGCTCTGCCTGCTTCAAAGTCCAAATTTACATCTCTCACACTGAACCTAATGGCTTCTCCAGGGCAGTGCTGGGCTGATTTACCTAGTGGGAGACTCAAACCAGGCCCCTTCTCCAGGACTGTTTCTCATAGCCCCAAGCCTGGCTCCCTCCAGGGACAACATGATGCTTGAGTCTGCAGTCCACAGGTGCCATTTAAGTAAACCAAAATGCACCCACTTCTCTCCCTTTATGAAGTCACCTTCTTTCCATGACTCAGTGGGTAGTCAATACTTGTGGTCATGGTTGGAAAGAAAACTTCAGCCAGGAGGCAAAGATGCAAAGTTCAGAGAAACAGGACAGGGCTAGAGGGTCACTCTGTCTGGATACCAAGGTAGCAGGGCATAGGCAACAGAAGCTGGACCAGCCTTGTGCTAAGATTTGTAGCTCTTACCTACATTCAATGTTAATCCTCACACTGGAGCCAGTGTGCATTTCCTGAAAGAAGCTTACAGTAGTTTCATGTTTTGTACACATCACACAATTGTTGCTAGAGACAAATATCTAGCCTGCTCTAACTTCCTACTCCTAACCTGTTTGGCCCTGTGACTGGAACTTCAGACAGCAAGGCATTCCTATTATCATGCCCTTGAGCTACCTTTTAGTCCTGGGTGTGATTCTAGTTGCTTCAGATGGAATGGATGAAAGTCCTCTTAGTTCTGGAATTCTGAAGCTCTACTCAGTGAAAAAGTAGTGAGCCCTCAGTAGAAGAGCCCTCAGTTCCCCTCAGTGAGTGCCCTTTAAGTACAGTCTCCAACAAAGGCTCCTGTCTATCCTTGGCCAGATCCTACCCCTGACATCTTCCTCTTATAAATCCCATGGCATGTGCACATCCCAACCAGGACGTAAGCTTACCTTGCCAGCTCATGCTGGTTGACAGTAGGAAGCTTGAGCTGCTTCCCTGACCTTTGCACCTTCTGGCCCCCAGTGGTCTCCTTCCGTGGACCCATTCATGAGCCCTCATGTCTTCTGGAAAGGCCACAGACATAGCAACCCCCGTTTTCAGGAACGGGGCATACAGTGTGAGAGCACCTCCCCACCCACATACCAAGCAGGTCAAGTTTCTTCCCAGCTGTTGGCTTATCCTTATCTCCTTAGCTGCTTCTTCACCTGCCCAGGTGGTGGTGAAACACAAGGCAACAGACCCCCAAGTTACAGAAGTCAACAGAGCCTGAAATTGGCTTGCCTTCCTTTCTTCCTCAACCTATATGGCAAATGGATTGTGATGGAGTCAAGCCTGAAATACTTTCAGGGAAATTGGGAAGGCAGTCCCTCCCCAGCTAGATAGATGTTCAGAGGCATAATCGCCTTACCAACTGATCCTCTACCTCCAACCCCGTGGAAGAATGGCCTGAGACAGTGTGAGTTTGAGAAGGCCAAAGATACGATCAAGTCTCTATTCAAAACACAAATTCTCAGAGATTCCAGAGAATAGATAGCATCCCAGGCAAGTAGCCCAGGGTTTGGGTGGTGATGAGCAGGTCAGAATGGACCTAGATGGAACTCCACCCTTGAATCAAGACAAATAGCAAGGACAAACAGCTGTGTCTCTGGGTCTAGCCCCAGGCAGAGGGGAGACCCTATAGATCAACAGGTCATTCTGCATACCAGCAGTGCTTCAAAGAGGATTAGAAAGGGATGTGATGTGGACTTCATATCTTCAGATGTCATAGAAGAAACATTTCCACCTGTGGGGAGACTCTGCATGTTACCCTACCCCCTTGAAGCTTCCTCCTGGTGGCTGATTAATCATAGTGGGTATCCATGGAGATGCCTGAGGCAACCCCAGATGCTGATCACTTTAAGCCAGTGGCCAGCACCTGTACCAGGCTCATCTCCTGTTTAATAGGGTAATTTCAACAGATGCCCTAAAGAATATGTAACCAACACCTTGCTACCTCCATGGGTGGGGACTATGATATAGATTAACTGTCCTGTAGGCAATTGGCTATGTGACATGCCAGCATCTTGGGGTGGGGTGGGAGGCTGCTGCAAAATGGGGGTGGGTGACACACAGAAATGTGATTTCTACCAGCCCAAGAAAAGTGTTTGTGAAACAGCTGTGGTCCAGATGTACCAACATCTGGCTCCAGGCTCAGGCACACTGGTGTTTTCCTACCTAATTAGATATAGATACATGTTGTATCCTGTTGGCATTGGTTTTTGGTAATGTCCAGCAAAGTGTCAAAGACAGACTAGAAAACTCCACCATGTGACTGTTTTCTTAGAATGTGTTATTTGTCCTCTTCTGGTAGAGGAGAGACTCCATAGCCTAGCCCAGGCTTCTGTTCCATCCGCATCACTCACCAGCAAAGATCTACCTGGAGTGTGGGAAGGTCCCCTCTGTAATGAAGGTTTTGAACCAATGTAGCTCTGCGAGTCTGGACATCTGGCTCAGGTGTTAATGTGCAGTTGAACAAAGGTCATATAAAGATCTTACACATTCCAAGCCACACTCTGGACACCACTGTTAGACAGGTTGGTGAGTCTTGGAGAAGAAAAATATACTTAGAATAAAAAAGCCAAGAAGGGTCTCTCTGGAATCATTTTCATCTGAGTCAGTTCTCAAGAGATGTTCAGGTTGTCTTCACTTTTTTCCTTAGGTTAAAACTACAAGGGAAATTTATTATGAATTGTGGGCGGGCCAATGTGGTCTTGATCCCACAGTGCTGAAGCTGCTTCAGTATAGGAATCTGGCCACAGTGGCCAGGGTGTTAACACATATTTTTTCTCTCTCAGCCCTCAGGTCTGGATGACAGGAGAGGCAGCCGGCCACGATCCATGGTGCGGTCCTTCACCATGCCATCATCCTCCCGGCCTCTTTCCGTGGCTTCAGTCTCTTCCCTTTCCTCCGACAGCACCCCTTCCAGGCCAGGCTCGGATGGGTGAGTAGGCTTAGCAGTTTGGGGCTCCAGATAGGGAAGACTGGGCCTGGGATGTCATGGGATGCCAGCAGTACCCTGGGGTTGCTTAGCATCCCTAGACATGCTGTTTTGGAAACTTCCCAGGACAGTAGACTTATTGTCCCCATATGACAATGGAGGCTTTGTGTAATTGTGGAGCATCTTGCATCTTGCTCTAGGTAGCATTGCTAGAAAGGTGTGTGCCAAACCTTAAAACCACAGCTAATTCTAGCACTTTGTCCTCTAACCACATAGATGCTGTGGTATACACACACACACACACACACACACACACACACACACACACACACAGATCAATACAGGATAAAAATGAAAGGAAGCTATCGTTAAGTATTTAACTATATTCACACAGTTGTACAAACATTCTCCCCTAGAACTCTTTCATCCTAAAAAACTAAACCTCACATCATCAAACCTTGCACCCCCTTGTTCAGAACCCCCTAGCAGCCAATCTTCTTTCTGCCACTGAGTTTATTGCCCAGCCAGAACCAATAACAGATGATGTAGATTGCCTTCATTCTATAAAACCATCTTGAAGACCCCCTCATAGGAACTAAAAATGGGCATGAACCTGCCAGTTTACAAGCTAAATAACACACGGACCCTCGATGTGGCTTGGACATTAGCTCAGTGTGTTGCAAAGACCACCTTGTTGTTTGTATTTTCCTATTGTTTTTAAGTGCCAATCCATGTACAATATCTTATTATGCAAAAAGAAAAAAAATATCAACATGGTTTTCAGATCAGAAAAGAACTTCTGAACATTTAGTTTTGCTCAGTTTGTCCTAGTAGCCCTTTCAGTTGACAATTCAGTCACTATCAAATCTGGAGGCTCCTGGTCTCAGCTGTCCAGAAAATATCAAGGACAGTTCAGCTCTAATCACTGTTTCTTGCCAGCATTTGATATGCCTGGTGGAGAACTGCAAAATCTACCCACATTCTTTTCTTAACAGTAATTTTTATCAGTGTCTGATATTTCAGCCAAACCCATATGGAAATTCTCCACTTAGAGGTGTTTAAATCATGTGTGCCTGTCACTTAGAACAAGATAGCTAAAGAAATTTAATGCAGCTTCCCTTCAAGAGAATCCCCAGGCCAGTTAGGAAAAGGTTTTTATATTCCTGAGAACACAGGGGTTAGGTGGAAATTGATGGAGAGGTTTTAGATGGAGTGGTGTATTACAGTCAGCTCACCCAGGAGGCGTTTGTTCAACCTTTAACTGGAAAGTGTCTCTATTAGAGTCCAGAGTTGTGTTCATTCTTGGGTTGCCATGCTTTGCTATCTGACTAATGTGGACAAAATGAGGCTTGATCTCAAATGGCATAGATTACATGCAGAATAAAGTTCATCCTGGCTGCAGTGGCCTCTCCTAAGGCAAAGAAATGTACAGCCACCTGTCTCCTTAGAGTTCCTTGAATACTCACAAGAACAGACCCTCCTCCTATGGCCCAAAGGGAGCCATAAGTCCTCCCTTTGCCTACTTAAATGGTCTCAAGTTCAGCAAAACCTGGAATAAAGTGATATCATTTTTGTTGTTGCTTCTAATATTTTAGACATAATACTTCATGCCTCATGAATGTTGATTTGTTGATATGTAAGTATAAACAATAGATTATAGGTAGATAGTAGGAGATAGATGATAGCTAGATGGATGGATGGATGGATGGATGGATGGGTGGATGGGTGGATGGGTGGATGGATGGATAATAGATCAGAATGCCTTTGTATCAGTTACTTTTCTGTTGTTGTGATAAAACACCCTGACAAAAAGTGATTTTGGAAAGTAGGGTTATGGGGTTATGTTGGCTTAAGTTCTAGAAAGAGGCCATCATGGAGAGGCAACAGGAAGGAAAGGCATGATAGCTGCAGCAGGAGGCTGATCACATTGCACTCAGAGAAGAGAGAGAGAGGGGGAGAGAGGGAGGGAGGAAGGAGGTAGTGGGGTCAAGGCCATAATCTATCAAAGCCTAGTCCCAGTGACATACTTCCTCCAACAAGGCTCCATCTTGTAAAGGTTCCATGACCTCTGCAAACAGCACCACTTACTGGGGACCATGCATTTAAATACATGAGCCTATGGGGAGACTTTTCTCAATCAACCACCATAAACTTCAAGGTCAAAGTCAAGAACTGATGTGTATATCACCAACCATTTTTAATGATTTCCTTTTGTTTTTATTTTGGAAATATTTGGGGCATGTGGAGTGTGAACTGGATAGTATCATGGGGGTATCTTAACCCAGCTGCCAGTCTTAACATTATAAACTCCCTTCCCATCTTGTTTCCATCTGTATCCTATCCACTCCCGATTTCATCTTAATTCTGTAGCAAGCCTTAAGCTTTGTATTATGTAATCCATTGGTATTTAGATGTGAGTTTCAAAATGATGAGAAGTCCCCTTTAGGAAACATAGCTGTATAGCTTAACATTACATAAGATATTGATATAAATTCCTAATCACCATGACATTGGCATCAGTTTCTCATTTTATATGCATTGTGTTTTTTATTTTATCTGGGTGTGTATGTGCCTGCACGAGCATGCTTACATTAATGAGTACAAGCATGCCCAGGCCTTGGCATGCACACAGCAATCAGAGGACCGCTTCACCCGTTGGTCCTCATCTTCCATCAGGTTTGAGACAGGGTCTCTTCTGGTCATTCCTCACTGTGTGCAACAGGCTAGCTGTCCCTGCTCTTCTGGTTATTCTCCTGTGTCTGCTCCCACCTGATTGTAGGAGTGCTAGGATTACAACTGGGCAGCACCACAGGCATCTTCACAAGGATGCTGTGGATATGAGCTCAGATCCTCACAGACACCAAAGAGCTTTACATACAGCACCATCTCCCTGGCCCTACCTCAATATATATATATATATATATTATTTGAAACTAGACTAAGTGAAGCACTCACCTTGCCCTTAGCTGATATTCTCTCCTTAAGTCTCTCGATCCACTTTTTAAAAACTGTCATTTTCTTGTAATTTGTTGAAAACTCCAGATTGTTTACCTTTCTGTGTCTGCACTGAATGGATTGTATTGATGTTGTGCCCTATGGTGTGGGTGCTGTCTGCCCTCCCTACCAACAACATATTAGGGGTTGACTCTAGAGGTCTGGTGTAATTTGGGTTTGATTTGGGACCAGCTAACCTCATAGGCAGCTCTAGGTCCTTCCTTTTGGAGGCACATCTGAGCTGATTTTCTCTCTTGGTGATGTTAATGGCCATTGGTAATCAATGCTCAGATTCAACACCTTTACAGTTTAAATAGCATGTATACGTCATCAGTGAACCCATCACACAGATCTGGGAGAGGCTACAGGTGTGTATCAGGGTTTTTGCACTCTATAGTCTTTATCTCCAATAGATATCATATGTGCATTCATATATGTATGTGCTTGGTGGGTGTGCATGTGTGTTCATGCATGTATCTTGTATGTATGCTCATGTGCATGGAAGTTGAAGGACCTGATCAAGTATTGTTCCTCAGGTTCTTTTTACATTGTTTTTGTTTGTTTGTTTGTTTTGTTTTTTGTATATTTGTTTGTTTTTAGACAGGGTCTCTTATTGGCCTCTAACTCACTAATTCAGCTAGGCTGGCTGGGGAGCAAACCCAGAAACAAGTTCACACCAGTACATTTGGGTTTTTCATGTAGGTTCTGAGGATCAAGCTTAGGTCTTTGTGCTTGCAATGCAAGCAGTTAACCAACTGACCCTCCAGCCCAATGCTTTGTTGTGACATCATCCCTAATGAGCCACAATGCATCTAAAGGTCCCTGTTGCCCCCCCCCCTCTGAAATATTCCTTTCCTTGTGGAAGTCTGTGATTACTAGAGAGCCTGGTGCATGGCACCTGATTTCACATAGCTAGGTAAAGATCAGTAGCTGTCCATTGATTCAGATGACTATTTCTTCTAGGTTTGCTCTAGAACCTCTGTTGCCGAAGAAGATGCACTCCAGGTCCCAGGACAAACTGGATAGGGACGATCCAGATAAGGAGAAGAAGGACAAGAAGAAGGAGAAAAGGAATAGCAAACACCAAGAGATATTTGATAAGGAATTCAAGCCCGTAGACAGCTCCTTGCAGCAGTCTGAGGCAGTGATCCTTTCTGAAACGGTAATTTAACTGGGGATGGGAGGGAGCCCTGCATAGGTACCTGGGACCACTTGGCTCTGCATCTAACCAAGGGGTTTATCAGCTGGATTTTATTGAATTTTTAGGAAAAAAGAAATTAGCAACTTGAAAGCCAGAGGTCTTCTCATCTCTGACCTCAAATAGCCCAATAGTCAGAGATGCAGAGCCGAGCTGTCTTTTCTCCCAGAACACATGCTGTCTTAGCCTTCATCATCTTTCAGAGGGGCTGGATAGGTCAGTTGCCTGCAAAGCCCTCATGTGTCTGGGCTCTTTATAGCTCTATTGTTCTTGGTGCCCTCCGATGTCCTAGCACCTCAGGGAACAAAAGCACACTTATTTCACAAACAAATCATTGCTCACGGGTAGCAAATGTCCCCTCTACCCTCTCCTTATTGGCATTTTTAAGCCTTAGTCACTTGCTTAAGGCTTATAATCTGCCCAGTGTGGGGCTGGTGAGATGACCCCATACTTGATGATCTCAGTTGATTCCTCAGAATCCATATGATAGAAGAAAACCAACACCCACAAGTTGCCATGTGACCTCCATGCATGTGCCACACACATACATACATACATGCATATACAAAATAAGTAAAGTAAATATAAGTGTGCTCTCATCCCAAGATGAGTCTTGGACCTAGGCCTCCCAGAAGCACAACCTAGTGTTTAGGGTCTAAGTGTAGAAATGAGTCAGAGAGTGTTTCAGAGAGAGACCCAGACATCTTCAGTGTCCAGAATGACATAATCTCAGAGTCACCTCCTCTAGACATGGATAGTACTTGACTGGTAAGTGACTGGAGCGTGTCTCCCTGGATCACAGCTAGCTCCATGTTGGCTATGATAAAGGGCATTTCACGAAAATTCTGAACTAGACATGCTTCTTAACAAGTCACATGAAAACATGTCAGAGGGAACATTCCAGCACCAACAACAGCCATATGCTCCCTTTGACTCAAGGTGGGAGGCAGATGTAGATGTCAGAGCTGTGGCATGTCTCAGTAAGGCCATTGGCTCTCTGGCTTGTGGACATGTGCTGTCACTGGAACTGGGCTCTGGTGTCTCTGTGTGGACACTGATGGCCAAGGGCATCAGGCCCAAGAATCACTGGTCAAAGCTGGCTTTAATTTCTTGGGCACTGGGCCCCAGGCAGTACATGAGAGGTACTGGTAAGCTACTCTGCATTTTCTGCCCACTGTTCCAGAAAGCTGTGCCTCCAAATACCCTCACAAGCCAAGGTCTCTTCTCTGGTCCCACAGCATCCTTACTGGTTGGCTCAGCTTCTTTCTTTGACATATTTACTCAGGGTCAGGCACTGTGGGGTCCTGCAGACATTTTCATTAAATCTCTGTTTTAAGATATGAAAACTGGGCCTCAGGAAAGTAGAGTTAGGTAGCCAAAAGGACCACAGTTGAATTGCGTGGGAACAAATCCAAGGACACAGCCAATGCTGAGCCATCACAGTACAGTTTCCGTCCTTCTCAATGATGACCGTCTTCCTGGACAGCACCTAGTAATGACAGGGCCAGGTGCAATACCGTGTGGGCCTCTCAGGTTGCAGAAACTACACAAGGTCAGAGGACAGAATCTTGACTTTTTGCTGTCAGAAGGTGCCTGAGGTTCAGAATGCCCAGGGCTGCTGCAGCAGAGTCTTACCCACTGGTCAGGTGTGGTGCACAGTATATCTACACACTGCATGGTCCATGCTGACTCTAGCACCCCCTAGTGTTCCCAGATCTCTGTTGTTGCTATGGCTCCCCCTCAATACACCTACACACATCAGCTGGTCTCCTGGCTTCTGTAACATCTCCCCCTCCCCCTTGGGGCTGGGCTCAGCTTCCTTCTTCATTTGTGTCATTAACAATAATATCGTGACCTTTAACTGAGCCTCTCAAAGCTGGACCTCCAGGCTACCATTTGCATTTCCCCAGGAAATCCTCCTGAAGCTTTGTGTTAGGAGCAGAGAGAGTGAGAGAAGGTCTTTACAGCCCAGTCTCTTCACCAGCCCATATGCACATCTTCCTGGGAGAGCCAGGCTTGTAGCCAGTCCTGACCGCATCCAGCCAGGTTCGGTGGGGGGTTCTCCATTTCCACAGAGAAGGGCCAGAACTCGGGCATGGCACACACACCATATGCATAGAATAATTTGATGTGTAGCTTGAACCTGTGGTCTTCTCATTTATCAGAAGACCTCTTTGCTGCCCAGGACCTCGCCCCTACTTCTGGTTTCAGTAGCTCCAGTCTGAGCTGGCTCTGTAGGTCTCTTCTAAGGTAGACACAAAGACCCTCTGACTCTCACCATTCCCTCCCCGTCAAAACCAGCTCATGCCCCAGGAATAAGCTGAAACACCAAGGCCAGACCCTCCTGGAGACAGCCTCCTCTTTTCCACCAGGTTAATAGCATTTCTGAATAATCCTTTCTCAGAATATTTTGTAATTGCTGGTGTTCCCTGATGTGTAAGATCCGAGGCCAAGCTGTAAGAAATATATAAATTAAATTTACTGATGTTACAAACAGGGAAAGGGGCCCAGGTAGGGCAAAGCCACGTGTGCCCAAAAGCCCAGGGCTGGCAGGAAGAGGAGAGAAAAGAAACTCCTGCCCGATAGTAACACAGCTCAAAGAAACTAAATGAGGGGAAAAGGAAATACCTGCCTGCCACTGTGGCCTCTAGATTTCTGTTCCATTCATTTAGGTTTGTGTTTTGTTATTTTGGGGGGGGTTGTTTTTGTCTTTTGGGTTTCTCTATGTAGGCCTGGTTGTCCTGCAACTCACTCTGTAGACTCACAGAGATCCACCTGCCTCTGTCTCTGCACCACCACACCTAGCTCTCTGTTCCATTCCTGATCCTTTGGGGGCATCCCTAGGTGCTGCTGTTAGATACACAAGTAGCTCAAAGCTACACTCTCACACTTTCACATTGTGTTCAAGAAGCCTGCAAAGGACTGGTGGGTAGAGTGCTTTAATAGCATGCATGAGGCCCTGAGTTCAATCCCCAGCAGCTCATAAACTCCCACATGGTGGTGCACACTTGGAATTCCAGCCTCCAGGAGAAGGGAACAATTATGATCAGGAGTTTAAGGTCATCATTGGGTACATAGCAAGTTCCAAGCTAGCTCACCCCCAAAGGCTGGGTTAAGGATTCTACAAAGTTCCGTGTTAATGGGGACTGGTTGCCATAACAATGTACTATACCCTCTGCTAGCAACTCAGATGACAGAAAGTTGCTGTCTACCAGTTCTAGAAGCTTCATGGCGATCAAGATTAAGGTGTAGATGGGATTGCCTGCTGCCTAGGCAGTGAGAGGTTTTGTTCCACATCTCTCCTGGCTTCTGAGTTGACTAGCCATCTTTGGTGTCCTTTAATTTGCAACAGCAGTACCCCACCTCTGCTTTTATTTTCCTGTGACTTTCTCCCCATTTGCATGCTGCCCAAACTCCCTTTGTTCTTAAGATCTTGTTGGATTAGGGGTCATGCTGACATCATCATGACTGGTTCCTTTGCAAAAGCCCTACCTCCAGATGGACTTGTGAGAGGCTGAGGTTAAGGCTTCAGCACAGGAATTTGGGAAAACACAATCAGTCCCTGCACATCTTTGTTCTTTCTGTCCTTCAACACAGATAAGTCCCCTGCGGCCCCAAAGACCCAAGAGCCAGGTGATCAATGTCATTGGAAGTGAAAGGCGTTTCTCTGCGTCTCCAGCATCACCGTCCTCCCAGCAGACACCCCCTCCAGTCACACCAAGAGCCAAGCTTAGCTTCAGCATTCAACCCAGTAAGTGGAACTGCTTTTCCTTAAGGTGCCTCTGCTTGTGGTGTTTTGTTCAGGATCCTTTTCCCAGCAGCAGACGAAAATACAGATGAGTACCTGGCACCTGGGGGAGTCCCTCGGGTTGAGGGGGCGGTTACTCAAGCAGAAGCTCACCCTTAGTGCCAGAGCTCAGCAAACAGAGAGTGCAGGACCCAACCCAGGAGCAGAGCCCCTGTCTCAAAAAGTGGTCTTGAGAGCCACAGGGTGCCTTGGGTCTCTGTGTCTAGTGGGATGTGCAGTGAAAGAATTATTGCTTAGTGCATAGAAACTTCTACTCGGGATGACAGGTGACTGCACAGCACTCTCAGCCTGTCACCACCTCTGACTTGCATACTAGAGGAGCATTAAATGACAAGTGTTATGTCACATCCACTTTACCCCAATGACGCAGCTGTAGGCCAAGGCTTCCAGGGTCACTTGTCAACCGCCCTGCTGTCTCCCTGTTACCAGATAACCACTTAAGAAAACCCCAAAAATGCCCACCAATAAATGTGCCCATTTTTCTCTTTGGTTTAAAATAAAACATCTTTTCCAAGCGTGTCAACAAAGGCTGATGGAATTAGCCTACCTAAGTGATCCTCCCTCTCTTTGTAAGTGGCCGCTTTTGTGTGCTTTAAGAACCCATTGTACCCCCTCCCCTTGGCTCTGGAAAGCAACTTCTGACCCTTCCTGTCTTACAATCATGGTGGGTGAGCTGTGTGTGGCTGTAACTGGCATGCCCCATCACTTTACCCATTGAGCTTTCTCAGTAACAACTGTGACAGGCTGACCACAAAGCCTGTCAGGCTTTCAAAGTGGCACACTGTCCACAGTCCTTGTCACACCAATTATGGATGCCACCAAAGAAAAGGAGGCTCGTGGACGGTAGTAATTTACACAGTGAATTAGTATGTTGCTTCAAGATCTGGTGTTCTCAGTTTCCTTTCTAGAACATTCCACCTGGAGAGACTTCCACTCTTTGTATTTTCTGCTTCTCTTTGCCTTCTTCTTTGCTCTATTGGCAAGTATTTCTGTGGAGGAGAGGGAAATGGGAGCCCAAGAGCCTTCAGGCCCAGGAGACGTTTTGGTTCCCTTGTAACTATTTCTCCATACTTCAGGTCTGGAGTTGAACGGCATGACAGGGATGGATGTGGCGGATGTCCCACCCCCTCTGCCTCTCAAAGGCAACATGGCAGATTATGGAAATCTGATGGAAAACCAGGATTTGATGGGCTCACCCACATCTCCACCTCCTCCTCCCCCACAGCGGGTAAGTGGGTCTTTAGTTACTGTCCCCAAACTTCCAAATCTCAGTGGTTTTACCTTGGACCCATGAAAAAAAAAAAAAAAACACAGGATGGACCTGGATTTGATTTTGAGAAGGGTTGAGAAGTAAGGATAGAGATGTGTACAATCTGTGATTCTTCATCTTAGCCCTAGCTATAAGAAGCCCCGCCTCCCATACAGTGCTGCAGCCTTCCCCATTGCTGCCCTGTGTAGGAAGTCATTCTGATGGAAATGCCAATCTTTGAGCTGTTGATACTGCCAGCAGTGTTGATGCCAAGAGGTCTGTCTGACTACACTAGAATGATGTGCTATTCTATAGGGCAGGGCTTTCCTTTGTTTCCCACCATCTTGGCCCTGTAGTTCCTCTGGGCAATGTTGCAGTCACACTGACAAGTCCCTAGTGACCACAGATACTTGCTGCCTAGAGAGTACACAGAAGGGCTCCACTTTGGTTCAGAGACTGCATGCCCCGCCTCATCAGCCTTCAAATGCCCCTAAAAATCTTGGTTCAAGTTTTGGGCCTGGCGTCTTCTAGCAGTACTCAGGAACAGCCAGCCTGAACCCCTCTCCAGCAGTGGTCCCCACCAGACATTCTTTTTAAAGTCATTTATCATGTCTAATGTGCTCCCCGATGAGCCACCTCGGGCCTGCCTGCTAATGCAGACAGTAGGGAACAGTCCTAAACACCACACTAAAATGGGTCCTCACTGCTGCTGCCATGCATCGCTCAGGTCATTGTTTAGAACTCCAACATGAGTAGAGATGATAAGCTCAGAGAGGACGCACATGTCTGATGTACACAGTCATGGCAGAAATGTCCACTCTGTAGTCCCCACACCCAGGCCAAGTTATTCATGGCCTTTTAAAGTTCAGTCAGTAAAACAACCCAGCTGTATTTGTACAGCTGGTCATACTTTTTACTGTTCAGCCTCCATAACATAATGTTGTGGCCACCAGAGCCCCTGAGAGCCCTGATGGTGTGAAATTGATTAGTGGCTACTATAAGGCACAGAGATTTTTTTTTTTCTTCCACCATAGTAAAAATAAATTCTTCGTGCCGTTTCTTTTTCTTTCTTGGGGAGGCTTTTTACTGGGTTCTCTGCAAACTGCTTTTCCTCCCTTGAAAGCTGTGAGGGAGGGTTGGGGTGATGGCTCAGTAGGTAAAATGCTTGCCATGCAAGTAATAGGAGCTGAGTTTAATCCACCAGAACCCATGTATAAATGCCAGGCATGTTGGCAGACATCTGTCCTCCTGGCTAGCACTAGGCAGACAGAAAGGGCCCTGAAATTCACTGGTCAGTCATGCTAGCCAAGTTGGAGAGTCCAGGTTCAGTGAAAGATCTTCTCTCAAATAAATAAGTTGGAGAGCTACATAGGAAGATGCCTGATGTTGACCCCTGGCTGCCACATGCATGTGTATAAACATACATTTATAATGGCATTTGTTTAAACACATACACAGGCATGGATACATGCATGCACATACAGAAAGAAAGTGGTGAGTGAAGGAAGTGCTTGGTAGCTGTGCATTTGATAGTTTCTGTAAGGAAACTAAACATCCGTCAGACCTTTTCTCTGGCATGCAAGGGACAGAAGCCAAAGTGTCATTTATGAAGGGATAGATCTCCCTAGAGATACTAGCTGGCCAGCTGGCCCTGGAGAAGGGGGTATTCTATAAGGCTACGGGACTCAGGCAGCTACTGAAATGTAAACTTGACCTCTCCAGCACAAAATGAGACCCAAGGAGCCTGGGGGGGGCCTTCACTCCCTTAGGGTGTTACACCCTCATTAGTTGATAATATCCTTATTTTATTAGAAAGGCAAAAATGCCCCCTGGTCCTCCTATAATCGGAAAACTCTGAACTTGGAAGTGTGAACAAGTTCATTTCTGTCACACATCCACACAGGGGTTACAGATCCATCATCCTAAATTGTCGGTGCCACTTGTGATTAAGAGAAGGACCGACATGCCCTAGCTGCCGTTGAGTTTATAAAGCGGGTGCAAATTCAATTAGATTAATTACCCAGCTCTCTTTGCAATTTGTTTCTGGTTTAATTTGCAGCCTGAGCTCAAGTTTGGGTGACAGGCAGGTGGTTAGTGTGTTGTAGTTAGTTAAGGCATCTTCTCAGGTGCCTCTCTCTGCACAAGTCTTGAAAGCCGTTTTTTGGATAATGATCGTTCATCTGCCGTAGGAGGTGATCGATAGCCTCCCGTCACTCTCATCGATCGGCCTCCGGCTTGTCGGTGACTCTGTCTCTAGTTGTTGCCATTTTAAGCTGTCATTCATTTCAGAATGACTCGTATGACCAGTCATGTGAGCTATAATTTTGCCTAAGGGTGATAAACCCAACATTCTCCCACTTGGTATTAAAGGCACCTCTGGTATCTAACACTGCATTTTCCTCAGACTGTGTTGGTCCTGACTACAGTTACTCTCTGTTGGATATAACCATAACTTTTACCTATAAACACACCTACAATGGATGTTTTCAGGCCATCGAATCAATGTTTTTGTTTTGTTTTTCACAGTTCATACGAACCTTAAAAAATCTAACAAATGTATTCTTTACTTTGGGGTGCACGTGCGCGCGTGCGTGCGTGTGTGTGTGTGTGTGTGTGTGTGTGTGTGTGTGTGTGTGTGTTCATATATATGTGTATAGATGCAAGTGCATATTTACACATCTGCATGAGGAAGCCAGAGGTTGGCATCTGGTGTCTCTCTTAATTGCTCTCCATTTTATCTTTTGAGGCAGGTTTCCCACTAAACCTGAATCTCACTCATTGGGCTAGACTGGATAACCAACAAAGCCCATAAATCCTCTTGTCTGTCAGGCAGGGATTAGAGGCCTGTGCTATTGTGCCTGTTTTTTTACATGGGTTCTGGGAATCTGCACTCGGGTTCCTATGCTTGGGAGCTTGAGTCAGCTCCTAAGGCTGGCATTTCCCTCTGAAAAATGGCTAGTGTTATAGATGATCTCCTGCCCTCTGTAGTCAGCACTAGGGTGGTTGTGAATTTACCTGTCTGTAAACCAGGATCATTCTTGGGCAGTGAGTAAGAGACACCTGTGTCATGGTTCTGTGTTGAGAGCCTCTTCACATTCAGCCATACTCCGAGAGACCGTGACACTTGCCCTTACATTACATGGTGGCTCTTGAGTAGTTCTTGAGATTTCTTCCTGCACTGGGCTCCCATCTCCCCTCCATCTGACAGTTTCTTTATCTGCTCTCACTGTGCCCTTGGGTGATAGAGCCACATCTCTCTGGAATCTCTTGTCAGTGTCTATGATGGTCATGAGGGTCCTAAGAGCAGTAGGATGGTGGCCACCTGAGTCATTCACAGACAGCAGGTAGTACATGGTTTTTCTGCCAGCTTTGCAGCTGTGTGTTCATTTTCTTCTTTAGAAGATATATTCCATTCGTTACTTTTCTAATTTTGATGCTGCGTGCTAAGAGGCAGAGGGAGGGAAGTGCTGTTTGGCTCACAGTTTGTGGGCTCACAGTCTATTGTGTAGGGGAAGGCATTATGACAGGCAGCCCTGAAGTGACCCAGAGCTTGTGGAAGATGCTTGCTCCTATCCCAACTGAACAGAGAACAGATAAAGGATAGGATGGAGAACCTGGAGATAAGCCTCAAGGCTTCCCTGCTATGAGCAACCTCCTTCCTCCAGCAAGGCTCTGTCTCCCAAGAGTTGACAGAACCCCCCACTCCCACCTCACAATGGTGCTGCTGGCTAGGTGTTCAAACACATAAACCTGTAAGAGAGGGGGCCTTTATACTGAAACCATACCGAGATCCCAAGGCACTTTGTTGCCTATGGACCAATCCAGCCAGTGCCTTGCTTTTGTTAATTAAGTTTCCTTCACCCACAGCTATGGCTACAGCTTCTGCTGGTCCAGGTTTTGACTGCTTTCCAGCCTGAATGAGAGCCTCGCATAACCCACAAATTGTAAAATGTTACTTTCCAGAGAAAGCTTGCTGGCCTAGGCTGTCAGTTCAGAAGGCAAGGGAAAGTCTCTCATCACACCCTGGAGAGCCTTTTCTCTGGACACAGATGTGTTACTAGGTCGATGACACCTGAATCTAAAACCACAAACAGTGATGCCTCTCAGGGGATCATTCACCATGTACATAGACACAGATGTCAGAAAACCCCATGGCTGCAGGGATGCTGGCTCTAAGCCAGGCAGGATGGAGCTATATTATCATGGGGAGGGCAGGGGGTGTGAGAGTGGGGGGGGCAGTTCTCATCATAAGTGTTCAGACTAGCTTCACACTATGCCAAGACCACAGAAAAACAAACAAACAACATAAATAGGTGCTTCTTTGAGGACACCAGTAACATGACAGCTTCTTCATACTCCTGTTTCCCAGCAACAGCCACCTCCACTGCCCAGCAAAACGCCACCTCCTCCCCCTCCGAAGACTACCCGAAAGCAGACCTCAGTGGACTCCGGGATCGTGCAGTGAATGCCCTGGGATGAGAAAGCTACCCTCCTTCCTCCCTTTTACATCTGCTGTGCCTGCGATTACCTCCTCCAGGACCGGGGATGCCTCACCTTAGTGTGAATGCTTTTCCTGGAAAGGAGTCCTTCCTAGCCATGGGACCAGAGGCCCTGAGTATCTCAGAGTGCAGTGGGAATGGGGCCCAGTCATACATACTCTGGATTTTATTTTGAAGTTGGGGCCTCTGAGCCTGTCAGCCTTTCAGATGGCCTCAGTCTTGCCCTGATACCCTTTCCTGTGTGCCAAATGACTTGTATTCATTTGCAGGGAGCTTGGCTCATGTGACTTAGCCAAGTGGGAGGGATGAGGTCAACTCTCCTCCCCCACTCCCACCTTGAGAAGCTATGCAGTAAACTTATGAGGATCCTTACACATCCTAGGAAGCCCAGACTCTAGCTCACCCCCATGGGCTGACTGCTCCACCCATTCTCCCTGCATCCGTGGTGTGACCTGTGTGCTTGAGTGATATTTCAGCTGACATCAAGCAATTACATGTACCCCTTCCAAGAAGACCTTGATTTCCCTTGGCATAATTTAAAGTAGGGATGTCTCTCAGTTACTAAAGAGATACTAATACATGGAGTAGAGACACCGTTAAGAATACCCGATCAAATGGAAAATAAATACGAGTATAGGATTTTCATTCGTTTTTAAGTATGGCCCCATACACCACCGGAGGTGGTTTTAAGTGAGTGGCTTCTCTGTGTTCTCATTGTGTACAGAAGTTTGTATATACGGTGGTTCTCAGAGCTCCTATGAGTGTCTGTGGCCCCTGTTTATTCTAATGAGCCTCTGAAAATGAGCTTCAATGTGTCTTATTCATGTTTAACTGCTGGAAATATTTGTTTTTTTTAAATCCCACAAGTTAAATTGTTTTCCAGATTCCCAAGGTCCTGAAGATGTTGGTGGACAATGATTAAAAAAAAAAAAAAAAAGAAAGAAAGAAAAAAAAAAAACTAACTTTGTATAACCTAATATTTTTATTTGATCATCTATATTTTTTTATTCACTATGATCATGATACTGTTTGTTCTAGGAGAGTACAAAGTTAATCACTGACAAATGAAAAATAAATGTTATTTAAAAAGGACTTCTAGTGCCTGGCTTCTTTTATCACTTAACATAAAATATAGATACTACTTTCTTAATGAAAAAAACAAAAACCACCCACTTATATATATGCATCTACCCATCTTCCTCAAACATAATTGAGTGTGTGGGCACTTGCATGTGTGAGCACATGTGTGTTTTTACACGTGCCCATTTATGTATTAGTGTACATGGGGTGCACGGGTCTGTACATGAACACAGGTGTCAGAAGTAAACCCCATGTATCTTATTCAGTTGTTCTTCACTTTGTTATTTGAGGCAGGCCTCTCATGAACCTCAAGCCCAGAGTGAGGTCAACGTCGGAAAGAATCTATGCAGTCACTTTGTAAGGGTTAAGCTGGACTGGCTGGCCAGCAACTCTGAGATAGACTTGCCTTTGCTTCCCCAGAACTGGGACTAGAAGCACATTTCACTGGCCCCAGCTTTTTGTATATAGGTCCTAGGGCTCAAGCTCAGGCCCTTATGTTTGTGTGGCAAATGCTTTGCCAACTGAGCCATCTCCTCTGCCCTTAAACATAATTATTCTTTAATTTGAAAGCTTTTTCTTTATTTTTAAGAATCTTATGCATGCATGCATACAGTGAAATATAACCTGGTCTACCCCTCATTTCCCACCTATAAGCCCCCCATACATAACCTAACTCAACATCTCCTAGCTCACTGTACTGTCTTTTTTTTTTTTTTTTTTTTTAATAACACACTAAGTCTGCTGGTATGTGCCATTCACAGGAGCATGGGAAACCTAACAGTGACCACAGACCCCAAAAATTATTATTTCCCCCTCCTAGTAGCTTCTCATTAAGAGATGGAGCCTGGAGATTGACGTGTATTCCATCCATACCAGGATTTTAATGGGCTTGATTTTGTGCAGGTAACCACAGCGGCCATAAGCTCATGGCTGCATTAGTTGTGTCAGGACCAGAAGACAGCTTTTCACAGTACCACCCCCACCTCCTCCTGCTCTTACATTCTTCCTGCCTCCTCTTCCATGGTGTTCCCCAAGCCTTCCTGTGGAGGATGGGAAGCTAATGTAGGTGGCCCACTTAGGGCTGACCACTTGATCTTTTGTTTGTAGCACTCTGATTAGTTATGTGTCTCTGAATTATCTGCTGCCCAATGCAAAAAGAAGCTTCTCTGAGCAAGGTTAAGAGCAGTCTATGGATATGAGCACAAATAGTTCCCGGTCCAGGGCCCGTGGCTGGGGAGGTCATAGACCCAATCATAGAATCTACTATTGTCAGTTTTCTAAATGGTCATGTTGTTAAAGTGCCTTCCAAGTGTGTATGCTTATACTTATCATTTTGAATCGTCACCCTTTCATTGCCTCTGGTTTGGAACCCAGGTAGAAAATGTCCATCCACGAACACATCCTCACAGTCTTCATGAAAGTGACCATCCATGAACATGTCCTCACAGTCTACACCAGAGTTTCACACTCCCACACTTCATTCCCCAGCTGGACCTGAAGCCTCCTAGCTACATGGCCAATGCCTGTTTCTCCCCTGCCTCTGTTGCTGATAATGTGAGAGTTGATGTTGTCATGTGTGTGATTGGGCTTGAGAGGTATGGGTGCTTCCGAGCTTTCTCCAGAACCTACCACAAAAGGTGTTAGGTGGTAGTAGGTCCCCATGCAGCATGAAGGCCTTTCAGCTCCCTCCTTGAAAACATGTGCAGTCTATAATGAGGTGCTTCTGTGCCTGCCCTCACCAGCCTGGAAGAGGCCTCTGAAGAAGCCAGGACCCGTGTGTCTTTTCCATGTGTAGCAACTATCTCATTAACAACTTCTAACAACTTCTAAATATAATATAGCTGTTTGGGGGACTGGAGAGAGATGCCTCAGTTGGTAAGAACACTTGCTGCACCGATGTGAATCCCCAACACCCACATAAAAAATGTGTCCATGTAACCTGAGTCATTAGGGACTGTTGGCTGCCATCCAGCTCTAAGTTCAGTGAGAAACTCCCCTTTCAACTCTTTCAACTCAAGCAAATGAGCAAGAAGGTGATAGAGCAGGACACTTGATATCTTCTGGCCTCACCACAAGCTTATGAGCAGTGTGTGTGTGTGTGTGTGTGTGTGTGTGTGTGTGTGTGTGTGTGTGTGTGTGTGTGTAGTCAAGGTCTCAACCCATCATAGATTAGCTGTGATACTTTGGGTCTGTGGCAATGTGTTACATTGTGGAAGGAGTGAAGGCAGAAGGCCCACTCACCTCACAGCTGGGTGCAAAAGGGTAAAAGAAAGGGAAGGACCCAGAGCCTAATACCTCCTTTGAAAATTCTCCAGTGACTTAAGAGTATCCCACTCAGCTCCAACTAGTTTACTGCATCACCATGGTACTAAAGGCCAGAGACCAAGCAAATCTGGAGCATTCCAACCTCAAACCACAGTGCTTAGCTTGTAGATCAAATCCCTAATCAAGGAGAAATATCCTGCTGTACCCATGGCTCTCCAACTTCTGGAATGAAACCTTTGGACACAGTGATGGGTCTTCTCTTCCAGTACAGGGTTCCCAACATCTTCATAGTCACTCCAATAATATTCTTTTCTTCATCATTTCCCATGGAAAATTTCTTCAAATGTTCTGTGTTCGCTATTTTCTCATCGTTGTGACAAGACACCTGACATGAAGTACTTAGGGATTAAGGGTGAGTTTTGGCTCACAGTTTGAAGGTTCTGTCCATCACAGTGTGGCAGGCGTGGCAGTCAAAGCATGAGGCAGCTGGTCACATGGCATCTGCATTCCAGAAGCACAGATCGATGAATGGAGGCTCAAACTTGCTTCTTTTCATTCACTCCAGCACTCCAGCCCATTGGATGGTGCTGCCCACATTCAGAGTGGACCTTCCCATTTCCATTAACCTAGCCTAGAAAATATCTTCTAGCCATGCCCAGAGGTTCATCTCTTGGGTGATGCAAGATCCTGTCAAGGTGACAGTTGTCATTAACCACCACAGATACTGTATGTGTGGTTTATGGATATCTATTGAATAAGAAGATGCTCACCAAGATTCAATTTACACTCTCCGTGGTGCATTACTGCATCAATGTGAATGCAAACTCTAAAACTGGAAGGTGAATCTCTTGTGTTCTATTTTTCCTTGATCGTTAGGAAGTTCAAGGCCACATTTAGCTCTCACTGAGTTACTTAAATTTTGGTTTAATATCCTTGGCCCTCCAGAATGCTCTCTGGTCTATTAAAAACCCACCTTTACTTTTAACTACCCCGTTTAATATGTACTTCCTTCACATCTTTATTCAAAGTGGGTAGCATATAAGCTTTATCCTAAAAATGGAAAAATCTTTTTTTCCTATTTAAAAACCACCCTTGGTGCCTGAAGATTGCCACCTAGTAGCTAAAGAAATTATTTAAAAATCAATTTTAAAATTATCCTTTCATGCAAAGATTTGATCTCTCTAATTCTTTACAGATCGTATTATCTTCTGCTCTGGATTCGTCTATGGCACTGGGCTTCACAAATTGTGTTCATGGAGGTCTTTGTGGCCTTTGCATTTTAGTTCTATATATAATTGCTTTATTTTCCTTGTGTTAAAAATCATTTTACTAACTTTCCCTGTCTTCTCAACATGCCTTTTAGAACCCTTTAAACACCTACTGTCTTGTTGGGAGTGCTCAGAAGGGTGGGGGTTCTCTAATCCTTTGACCCAAGTGTCTTAAACTTGGCAGACTCTGTTGATCCCTCACCTACATAATCTGCTGTGGGTCTAAATTTTTGTGTTCCAGGCATGAAAAGGGGTGGTAGAAGCCCTCCTGTTGGACTCCAGGTAGAACTCATTTTCATAGATTAACAAAATTTGTTTTAGTCATGGACGTAAAAGGTGCGATATAGGCTTTCTTGTTTGTTTGGATTTTACTGAGTTTGTTTTTCTTTTTTCTTTTTTTCTTTTTCTTTTTTTTGTTTGTTTGTTGAGACGGGCCCTTGCACTGTAGCCTGGGCTGATACAGAACTCAAGACAAACCTCCAGCCTCAGCCTCCTGATGGCTGAGATTACAGACATGTCCTCTCCGGGGGAGTTTATCCACTGCTCAGCACTACTGTCAGTGTTTCCAGGAAGGTTTCTGTAGGAAGGGTCAGCATCTGTAGTCAACTGACTTTTAGTAAAGGGGAGTCCCTTGATATGGGTAGCCCTCAGCGAATCAGTCTACCTCACAAGGAAAACACTTTGCTGGAGAAAAAAGAATCACGGCCCTAAGACCAGACATCCTTGGCCCGATTTTGTAGTCAGTTGCCCATTGCAAGTTTGAACTCACCAGGGGATGAACAATTTCTCAACCTAAGTCTCTCTCTCTTCTTCTCCCTCTGTCTGTCTCTCTCTGTGTCTCTGTCTCTGTGTGTGTGTTTCTGCCTCTGTCTCTCTGTCTCTCTCTCTGTCCCTATCTCCTTCCTTTTCCCTCCATTCCCCCACTGAGTCTTTTGAGTCTTCCCTCACTCTCTCCTGTCTCTTCCCTGTCTCCCTTTCCTCACCCTCCTCCCCTTTCTCTCTTCTCTTTCTCATCTCCCCTCACTGCCTTCTCCCATTCTTCTCTCTCCACCGTCTCTTTCTCCTCCCTTCTCTGTTGTCTTTCTCTTCTCCCCCTCACCTGTCTTTTCTCCTCTCCCCCCCATTTTCTTATATCCCTCCTTCTCTCCCTCTCCCTCTCTTTGTCTCTCCCTCCCTCTTCTCTTCCACGCCCCTTTCTTTCTCCTCTCCTTTCTCTTCCCTCGTCGCCCATTGCTCCTTCTCTCCCCTCTGTTTGCCTTCCCACCCATCTCCCTGCTTCTCTCTCTCTTTCTCTCCTCTTTTCTCCCTCTCCCCTCATGCCTTCCTCCCTTAAGTAGCTTTTTGTCAGATGTTTGGTCACAGGGAAAGGGAAAATAGCCAAGCCAACACAGTTCATGTTCATGTTGAAGGTCTGTATAAAAAATGTCCTCACTGGAAGGAAAACCACACAACAGCAAGAGGGTTAGTGTGGTACCCAGC